TGTAAGGCATTTTGTACGGGGATTAGCTGTTCTATTTTATAATGACAATAATAAGCTTTTATAGCTCTTCTTAGGACGCTTCCCTGCATTAATTTGATTTAACAATAATGAAAGCTTTGTACTAAAGGGATCCAATAATGTTGGTCTTAAACCTGAGTGTGTCTTTGTTTACTGCACTTCAACACAGAGAAGATTAGAGTTTGTGTTTGAAGGAAGGGAGCCCTCATGACACAAAACTCGATCCACATAAAGCCTAAGTCTGCTTGAGAAAACGCAGTGACTGAGAAGAGGGCAGGAAAGGGAAGAAGTTTCAACCCAAGGAGCATTATTTTGATTGCACTTCAGTATCTTGGGACTTTGAACCGTCAGTGTTAGTGGTTCTTTGAGGTCTGTTGCTGTTTTTTTTTAATCAGCTTGCTCTTTGCGAGGCATTCTTCAAATACTGATTGACAATTTTCTCCTGCCTAAAGCCTGAATTTGAAATATTTGTGCCAGCTTTAATACAATTCCTTTTCACTGTGTGGGTGGCTCAAAGGAGACCAGTTCTGGCGCACAAATGCCTTTGTGGGGAAAGAACTCCAGATGGTTTCAGTTTCTAAACCATCCTGGCACGCTGTGCGTGCTGCATGACAAGTCTAGAGGAGAGCTCTGTCACATTAGCCCAGTTTCAGGTTGCTGAGATGATTTGGTAGACAGAGGGCTGGTACACAAGGCTGAATCCCGTCCCGTTCCAAGTCAATGTGAGGCATTTTTCTCCTACTGATTTGAGCAAATCCGCAAACGAAACTACTTCAGGGTCATTCAGTACACTGCCTTGCAGGTTTTGCATAATTAGTTATGTAAAGAAAGCCAAGCCTTCAAAAACAGTAGAAAGGAGAAAACACAAAAAGGCCACCAGACATTGCTTTCCTCAGCTGCTGAGGGAAAACAAAGATGTAGCCTGTACCTTCTGCTGTATGGAAAAGGTGGGAAGGATGATTTCACTACTTCTTTTATTTTATCAGTGATGCAGGTTTTGCTTGCTCAGGTTTCCCTGCAGCTCTCAAGACAACCTGAGCTATGTGTAATGCGTAGGAAGTGCTGCTGTCTTTTGAGGTATCCCAGGGAAGAAGTGTTTTAGGGTGTAATCCCTATTGTAAAAGTTTGCAACGTGGCCATAGCTGACATAAGTGAAAAGGTAACACTATTATAAATAAATACCACAAATTGTCAGAGTTGACAGACCTCTAGAAAACACTTGGTTAGAGAATTGACTGGGTTTGTCCTGTGTAACGTGCATCTTGTACCCTGAAGTGGTAAGAAATGGGGAAAAGGGTGGCCCAGCAGGGGGAGGTGCAGCATAACAGTGCTGGATTCATAAGTGAGCTCAGGGTAGTAGGGACCTGAAATTAGCAAATGTGAGCAGCTCCTGAGAGCTACAGAAATAAGCACTGAGGAGGTGTTTGCCATTTGCATGTTTGTAAGGTATGGGGTATGCTAAAGTGAAATGAACCTCAAATGACAAAGCCACAGTTCTAGGCAGAGAGCAACGCACTGCCATTGGATCTGCTCCACCAAGAGATGAACGTAGGGATGGTCAGCTGGAGTCAGTGGTAATGAAGGAAATAAATATGTTGGGGCTTACTTAAAGTCCCACTGAAGAGATGAGCAAAATCCTTTCATCGCTCGGTGAGAAAGTGCAAGACATTCTTTATAATTAACTTACTTTCTAATTAACTTAGAATAGAGGTGCTTCCCTTTTAATAGAGGGGAAGCTGAAATCCGGAAGCGACCTGGAATAAATTGCTGCGGTGGTATGTGGCCGTGCAGCCCCAGCGAGCATCTTCAGTGGCCTGGGCCTTCAGCCCCTCCTCCTGCACAGCCTTTCCTCAGAAGAAATACCCAGGAAAGCTTTGTCTTTCGCAGAGCTGGATGAAGTTGGGTGCTCAGCCCCACCAAAATCAGTGTTTTCCTGTAGCATGCAATTTTTAATGATGTGAGTCATTAGCCAGAGAGAGGACTTGCCAAGGGCTAGGGTGTATTTTCTCTCGCAGAAGATTAAAAAGAGCAATAATCAGCATGCTGCATCTGTTTGGCATTTATCTTTTAAAGCAAATCTGGGGGATTTTTGGAGACTGTTAGGAGAAAATCAGACTGGCCAGTTTTCTGCCTCCAGTCTGTATGAATGAAGTGAGAAACTAAGGGCTGGGGCTGGACACTGGGTGCTGGCAGGGCCTCCTGCTCTCAAGAGTGAGCCTCCAGGCCCGGCTGCTGGGAGGACACCCTTAATTAACCGCCCTGAGAAAACTCCTCCAGGTATCACCCTCTAAAAGAGCAGGAGATGACTGCCTCTCCCTGCCTCTGCCACAGCTGATTGGCAGTGCACCTCCTCCCCAAAAATTAGCAGATAGCAGGAGCTCTAAGGGCCTGCATGCATGGCGATCCCATGAGTTGCCCATGAGATGCCTCTTGAGTACCCCATGAGATGCCCATGAATTGGGCATCTCAGCCCGGGTATCTCAGACTAAAGTTGGGCTGACTTTGCAAAGTGTAAAACTGTCAGTGCTCTAATTCAAAAGGCTGGTGCTCTAATTCATTAAGGTTGGAGAGATATCTAAGACCATCCAGTCCAGCCCCCAACCCATCCCCACCATGTTCATTGACCGTGTTCCTCAGTGCCACATCTCCACATTTCTTGAACGTCTTCAGGGATGGTGACTGCCCCACCTCCCTGGGCAGCCTGTACCACTGCATCACCACTCCTTTAGAGAAGAAATGTTTCCTAATATCCAACCTGAACCTTCCCAGCACAACTTGAGGCCATCATGTTCTGTCCTATCACTGTTACCAGGGAGAAGAGGCAGACTCCCATCCAGCCACAGCCTCCTTCCTGGGGATTGTATAGAGCCACAAGGTCTCCCCTGAACCTTTTCTCCAGACTAAACAATCCCAGTTCCCTCAGCCACTCTCTATAAGACTTGTGCTCCTGATCTTTCACAGCTTTGTTGCCCTTCTTTGTAGCTGAAAGGGCTGAAAACTGAGCACAACTGAGCACTCAAGGTGCAGCTCACCAGTTCTGTGTACACAGGGATGATCACCTCCCTGCTCTTGCTGACTGCACCATTTCTGATACAAGCCAGGATGTCATTGGTCTTCTTGGCCACCTGGGCACACTGCTGGCTTATGTTCAGCTGGATTCAACTAACACCCCCAGATCTTTTTTCTCTGCACAGCTTTTCAGCCCAGCTCCCAGCCCTGCTTCCAGCCCTTAGTATTGCATGGGGCAAGGCCTAAGGATTTGCTGCTAACACAGCCTGGCTGCCAGTGCAGAGCACTCAAGGAAAGCTGACAGTGCAGTTTCTGTATTATTAGACAGATACATCACTATCTGAACTAAAGGACCAGAGTAGGACACACCAGGCCAGAAAAGCAACTCACAAAACGTGCATTTCAGAAGGGGAATTGGAATGGACAACACTAAAGCCCCACTTGCCAGCAGCTCAGTCTCCAGAATAAACGCTGCAGCACTGAAAGGAGGAGAAATCTCCAGGGGTTTCGCAAAGCTGAATGGGACACAAACACAAAAACCCAACCAACCAAACAAAATTTGCTCAACCCCTCACACGTGGCAGCCAGCAGGGCAACAGCTGTACACAAGCGTGGAAAGGAGGCGACTAAAGCCTCTCTCCAACACGTGATTGATCCCGTTAACATCATGCTAGGAACCGGGGTAAGCTTAAGGTGGAATTTCTTTGGCTTGCTCAGGGCCGTCTGTGCTGGAGCCTGCTCCTGGTGCTGTTTGCTATAGGCTCTGGCTCTGTGCTAGCAGTTACCTCCTGGCTTCCGCGTGGCCCTTGCATAAATATTGGATAGCCAGAGAGTTATCTGGAGGCCAGAGGACACATGGGATTTTTCCTCTGGTACCTTCAGTCAGCATTTTGCCCTCTTTTATACATTCCAGTTGCAGGGCTCCAATTCAGGCTTGTGACTTTCTAGCTGAAAATGCAGCTGAGTTTTGACTGGCCCAGAGTCATACAGGCTGTTGAAATGCCACGTGAATGTTCAGGAATGGGTGCACAGATATTTGGGGCAGGGTAGTGTCAGGAGTTGGGGTGCTGTTGGTGTACCAGCAAGCACAATCTGCTGAAGGTTCCACAGCCTCCTGCAGGGCAGCGTGTCTCCTTTGCTATTCAGCCAGAAGCAGCCTTTCCTGGCACTATCCACAGATATGTATCTCACAGGCCAGCCAAGGCCCAACCAGGTAACATGCTGCCTCTCTACAAAGCTCTGACTGCAGTTTTGCAAGCAGAGCTGTGAAGCTGCATGCCACTAACATCATGTCCTGCAGGAGGGAAACTGAGGCACAAAGGATCCGGCTGAGCAGATAGTGGGGACCCGCTAGAACAGCCTCCGTCCTGCCTCTCCATCTGCCAACAGAGTGTTTCTCTTTTTCCCTCTAGAGTCTGGAACGGAACCAGTGGGATCATGCTGCTTCTCAAACACTGCAGCCTGAGTTCTCGCACCAAGCAGCGCCCCACACATACAGCACTAACTTAGAGATAGTTTCAACCACTGGCATTGCCACAAACAGTTAGGTTGCACTGAACTGCAGGCAGCGACATTTCATACCCAGGAGCTCCCAACTGCCCTTTGCAAGCACAAGGCTGTGCCTGAGTGTTAGCACACACGTACTCTCAGAAGCTGGGAACAGTAACATGAGGACTCCAACCCAGATTTCAGGCAGGGATCACCTAACAAAAAGCAGCCACCTCACTGCAGGCACAGAGCCATGGGATGAGAGCCAACATACACTGCTGCCTAGCAGCTAAAAGGGCTTACAGGAAGGATTTCTAGGATCATGCAGAAGCAAACAATCACTGGCTTCAAAAATCACACACATCCTGCCCACAAAGAACAATATCAATCACAATCTCCCACTGCCTACTTTAAATGGCTGGAAAAGCTCCAGCTCCCAGACAGCTGAAACTGATCCCCTTCTTGTCCCCCCCCCTCGTACCCCCCCATCATGTGATGGTCCTGCCCAAGTGATTTAAGCTGCTGGAGCCAGCGCTGAGTCACGTTGGCTGTGGAGCAGGGGCTTGGGGCATCTGCAGCATGGAGCAAGTGAGTGCCCCAGGCAAGATTTGGGGGTGGCTGCCTGTGGGTTCTGGGTCGGTGCCAGGGGGAGGAGGAGGCAAGGATTAGGCGAGAGGAAATGCTGGGCTGATACGAGGCTGTGGGAGGAACAGCTAGGGCCGACTGGCTGTGTTTCTTTTCTAGTGTGATATTTAAGTAGAGAAGCTGTTTTAATTCATGTTTTATTTTAAAGTTTTGAGATCATCTGCAGCTTACAGTTTGAATATCTTTTCTTTCTTTAATTTTTTCCTTCTCGAAAAATGTATTTTGGGTCCAGGGCCATGCAAGTTTGTATAACGGCAGAAGGAAGGAGTGCTGACCCTATGCTGGCACCATGCCTATTCTTTCGACTGTACCACAAACAGAGCCACAAGATAGTGCTGTAGTGATGAGCAGTTCAGTGGCTGTGGGGACCTGATCCCATTAGCCTCTTCCTTGGGCATGGCAGTGAGCAGGCATGAAGTCTCACACTGTTTTGTTTGAGTGACTGTGTCAAAGAGCTCTGGAGCAGCCCACAGCTACTGGCCACTGGTTGTGCAAGAAGAACCAGCCCACATAAGTAAAGTAACCAAATGCAAGTTCATTTCCCTATCTTATCTGCCATGTGGTTGGGCTCCGCACTATTGCAGCTGGGCCTGGAAACACGGGCATTGAAGCATGGTTTGGGTTAAACCTAACTGCACCAACAACATCTTCTTCTTAGCTGAAGGAGGTGGGGATTCTACTTGCTATTTTGGGGGTATGTGGCTGGAGAAGTGAATAATCTGGCTCCAGGTGTGGCATCAATCCCTCTTCATCCCCGTAGGAGCTTCCCTAAGTGTGTGTGCTTGGCTCTGCTGGGCTGCAGTCAGAAGCAGGCTCTACTAACTCCTCTGTCCACATAGCTCTAGGTTAAACCAGCAGATATTTTGGGTGGCCCCTGTGGAGATCTGCCTGGAGTGGGGGGACACTGTTACAAAAGCTAACTGCTATTAATTCTGTGCTGATGGCTGCTGCTAAGAGAAAGGTGCAAGCTTCATTGTGAGGCTGTCCTTTGTAGCAGCTGGTCAATCAGCAGCTCAGTCCACCCCTGTCCTCATTGCAGTGGTTAAAACTACTTCCCCATGAGTTTGTGCTGCTCAGTGGGGTGACAGCACAGGACTGGTGACTGTGACCTGGATTCTCTGGCAAGTGGCTGAGGCAGTATGGCTGGTGCAACCCTGGCTCTAGCACTGAATGACAAAGGCCTTTGGGTCTGTGGGATCTGGTTTATGCCTCACACCAGGCAGGGCTGGTGGGCTGCCGTTGGGATGCTGAGCCCTGTGGTTTGGTCCTACAGGGATTGGTTGTTACCCAGCTGGATGTACAGCCTGGAGAGTGTGTCAAGGTCAAAGGGAAGATCCCATCTGATGCCAAAGGGTGAGTGAAGAGATGGTTTGGAGGCTCCTGCCTTCTCAGGGGCTGACAGAGCTCCTACTGGGTTCAGCCTGTTGGCACTTGGTAGCTGGGCATTTCCTCACCACTGCCTTTCCATCTCCCCAGGTTTTCTGTGAATGTAGGGAAGGACAGCAGCACCCTCATGCTTCATTTCAACCCTCGCTTTGACTGCCATGGGGATGTCAACACTGTTGTGTGCAACTCGAAGGAGGATGGCATGTGGGGTGAGGAGGACAGGAAGGCTGACTTCCCCTTTCAGCATGGCGACAAGGTTGAGGTGAGGTGCCAGAGGTCTGTGCAAGGCCCTGACACAATGTACTGGTGGGCTGAGGGCAACTTTTCTAATGCTACCAGGTGGAGAAGGGGCAGGTATGGAAAGGGAGCTAGGCAAGGGAAGAGTCCTGCAGCTGACCAACTGCCTGGATTGGTCTGAGTCAATGTCCAACAGCTCAGCTGTATTCCGTGCCTCACTCTGGCCTTGCTCTGTAAGGTGTGCAAGTAAGAGCAATTAAAACACTGACCTGTGATTCAGATGGATCTACCTTGTCCCTTAGTTGCAGAAGCTTAGGACTGAGCTTAGGCAGAGCAAACCAGTTTCATCCTTTCACTTCTGCACTGAGCTAGCAGGCATTGCCTTCACCACCTGTGGACATCTCAACTGTCCTGCACCCACTGTAGGAAGAAGGGAGCCTGCCTTGTGACCTGTGATGTGCTAGCCTTCCTTTTTGTGGTTCCTTACAGATCTGTATCTCCTTCGATGCAGCGGAGGTCAAGGTGAAGGTACCTGAAGCGGAGTTTGAGTTTCCCAATCGGCTGGGCATGGAGAAAATTCAATATCTGGCTGTGGAGGGTGACTTTAAAGTGAAAGCTATTAAGTTCAGCTAACTGCTACAGCTTGTTTTTGTTTTCTTTTCCCCTGCATAGTGAAATAAACCCAAACTTGCCATGGCCGCTTTCTCTGCTGTTTCCTGCTCTAATCTGCTTGCTTGTGTGTGCTATGGGGGTGGGCAGTGGGAAAGGGTATGTGTCCACCTATATACTCATCTACACTGCTGCCTTGCAGCTGCTGTTGAGCTGGTCCACACAGCTGGCAAAGTATAACCTACTGTGACCTACGCTCCTGTAGCAATAGGTTCTCCTTTAACTCTGTTTGCTGCAAAGGCATGGCTTGTGCTTTTGCAGAAAGCTCTACTCTCTAAGAAAATGGTTTGACATGTTGCAGGCTGGCGCTAAAGAGCAGGCAAATTCAGTGAACTGCATGTGGTGGGGAAGAGACAGGAGTGAAGGGCAAGACCTGAGGTGTCTCTGCCACTTCACAAGCTATGGTCTTGATGCTGTCAGAGACCCAGTGATGCAATCACTGGCTTAGTTATGTGGCAGGTAGGGATACTGGAAGTATTGGATCCTGAATGCACTAAGCACAACTAGTGAATTGTCTCTTCCTCTTGAAACCTCTTGCTCTGCTCATGCAATGCCTTGGAGTGCTACAGTTATTCCCAAGCTGCCTGCTAGCTATGTCCAGACAGGGCTTGCCATATTGTTTGAGAACCTAATGACAGAGAATGGATCCCTGCCCACTGAGTGTGAGAAGCCTAGGTGTGGGGCTGGCCCTGTGGCAGTCACAGCTGTGCTGGTGTGAGGTGCTGCAGTTGGCCAAATACTGCTGAAGTGGTGAAATTTGATCCCTGTTGGCTAAACTCTGACAACAGGGCTGTTATGGTCCAGGCTGTATTTGCTGTTATTTGGAACAGCTGAGTAGCCAGGCCAGCTGCCGGGGAAAGGGAGTAAGCCTCTGCAGAGTATTTGAACCATTTGAATGCCTTTTATGGGGAGGCTGGCCTGGCTGCACTGTGGCAGCTGCCCCAGAACTGAGGAATCTGTGAGGTGACTTGCTTTGGAGGTGGCTTTATTGATAGCCTTTTCTCTCTGTTTCCTGGAAACTCAATCATGAAGGCCAGAAGGATATGGGCCATAGCTATGTCTTGCCAGTTACCTTGTGGGCATAGATATGGTGATGCAGCTCCTTCTATTTAGCCTTCAGATCTGATGTAGCTCATGACTGTGAGGGACTGGCAGTGTGCAAATGAGCAGGATGCTTTATGGGCACTTGTCTCTTCCAAGGCAGTATGTGTGTCTGGAGAACATCCACCAGAAGGCTCTGCTGCACTGACCAAGTTCAGCAAAAATTTCTACTCTGCATATGGTGGGAAGGTGTAGAAGGGGCTGCTGCAACCACTGTCCTTTGTGGGAGCAGGGTACAGGTAGCACATGTCTCTCTGCACTGCAGAAGCATGGTTATGCTGTGGGACTACCTCTTCTGAACTGGACAGAGGCACAGATAATGGTACTTAGAATTTTGGCCCTGCATATACTGCATTACACAGAACCATAGAAAGGCTCACGCTTTGCCCTATCGAGTAAATCTTGAGGTTTGGTGGGTTTTCTGTTTGTTTGTTTGTTTTAAGGTTACTGATAATTTTTGGTGGGAGAGTGAGGAAAAAATGGCTTTTGTTTTGTTTCCCTTATTTCCTGTCATTTAATGTCTGAAGATTTAGTAAATCATAAGGTATTCAAACTATCAGAAGTACAAAGCCCTTACTTCACAGAGGGATGCGGGCCTTAAAGCTGGTCCCCCTGCCTTCTGGCTACTCCAGTTAGGGAGTGTCTGTCAGCATGGACAAGAGTAAAGGTGATCTCGCTTTTTGCCTGTTAAGTTCTCATTTCTAGGTAGGCTCAAAGTACAAATGGGAGCTGTCCCCCTCCTATACTTTTCTCAGCAGCTAGTTAGGCTTATGCTGCTTTCTAACTGAAGAGACCACAGGAGAAAAAGGAGGAAGAAAGTCTTTACCAGTACTTCCTTTTGTTCTCCCGCATCCCAGATCTATAAATGCTCCTGGTCCTACAAGTGATGCTGGTAAAAATGCAGAATAAACATGAAGTGTCAAGTCCTAAAGTTACAAGAAGATTTCACCTCTGTTAGAAAGACCAGGAAAACAAGTATGACATGCCGTGCTGCAGATAGAAGGTACCGGTGAATGTAAAATGTCTTGTTCCTGCTAAGTAAGCCTTCCTTGAAATGCATGGCGCACTTGGCTTTTCCAGTATCCTTGGGAACCTGAGCCCTGCTTGCTCTGGGGAGGAGCAGAAAAGCACAGCCGGCATGGCCTAAGAGTGTGCCTTTTTTATTTAAATCCTGCCAAGCCTGTTGCCAGTCTTTCAGTCCAGCAACACTTCCCAGGGGAACCAAGAGCCTACAATTGTCCAGGCACTGAGATCAGGAGGTGGAAGAAAACCCTGACCCCTGCTTCTGCTGAATCCTTTAAGTTTGCTGTGTTCAAGTCAGCTTCCATTCCTGTATTTTCACCAGGAATCAAAGCTGTAGCACTTTCTTGCCTTACAGCATCATGGAAAGGGATAAAGGGACCTTGAAGACGCTGGAAAACAGTTGTGAAACTGCTGTATGAACACAGAATAAGTGATGTACATAATCACCTCACTTAAAGAGAAAAGAACAAATGCTCAACATTCTGTGCAGGGCCTGAAAGAGTAGTGATGGGAAAGATCAGACCATCAGCCAGTTTTGTCTTCTCAAAAATGACTTTCCTGAGTTGTTTGCACTAACATTGCTTGACAGAAATAGGCCACCCAACTGACTTTGTAGCTATGCAAGCATGTATGTAACCCTCTCCAACACAGCCTCAAAAGACAGCTGCAGGTCACTGCACCTAGAAATGGGGAAAAGCTGAGGAAGCCAATGGGCAGTCCAGGTTGTGGTAGGGCATGAGGAGACAGTTGGGTTCTCTTTTAGCTTATGTCTTTACAGCAAAAAATAGGTGGAATTTGTTTCTTTCCAACAACAGATTTATAAGAATGCAACTGGCATGTGTTCAGCAAAATGAGAAAGTGATCTCCAGTCAGTTCTTGGAAAAGTACTGGATATACTGACAGCTATGTTTGCTCTTTAACTGCCCATCTCCTGTTTCCATGGCCCTGCTCCTGATCTTTACAAGTCAGTGAGAAATTCTACCACTCATTTACTTTTAGAAATTCAGTCTCAAACTGTAAGCTGCATTGCCTGATAACTGCTCCCCTTTCTGAGGCTGAGCACTGGAGACTTTTGCTACACAATTCCCCTTTTTTGTACCATGATGGTTGTTTAAGCATTTCTCAAGGGATATGGCAAGCACCTGGCTGCCACCTCTGTACCAGCACACTGTGTTGACAGCCCTGGACATGGGCACGACCATGTTCCCCACACGTGAAGACCCTCCCTTGTGGAAACCAAACCCCTGCTCTCTGCTAAGCTGCAACGTATTTCCTTCCCTTCAACTCCTTCCTAGTTGTTCCACAGTGGGTGCAAGCAGACAGGTGCAGGCTGCAAAGCCTTCCTCCGTGGTGAGAAATAAAAATGTGTACACACTCACATTTTTCAGCAGACTCCAGAGCGATGTGAACGTCTCCTGTGCACTGCCTGCTGGCCAGACACCCTGAGACACACCGTCCTCAGTTACCTCACGGGCGCTAGTGGTAAAAATACACTGGAGGGGTGGGCAGCAAGCCCCTCTATTGCTTTTTGAGATTTTGGCACAGCTGGGTGCTGCATCCCTCCATTTTGCACAATGATGTAGTGACAGAGTGCCTGTTAGGGCAGCTGTGCCTGGGAGCACCATGAGGTAAAATGGCGCCTTCCCGCCTTTTGCCCACAGTCAGCGCCTCACCACACTGAACTGGCCTGGGCAAGGAACGGACGCCTGCAGAAAGCTGTTGCTTCCTTCAAAATCTCCCACCATGCTTTTTTCTTTTAAAAAATATTGTGCTTTTAATTACTTTTTTAAACTAATGTTCTTATTTCAGCTCAACTTAATCCCTGTGCCACAGTGACTTGCATTAGAAATCTTGGGCAACCCTGACAGGAAGGCATGGTCTCCAGTTGCAAATCACAGAGAAAAAAGCTAGTGGGCTCCAGTGTACAACTTCTCTTTGGAGCATGAAGAACAATTGTGGTTTTTTTTCCTAATGCCTAAAGAAACTCAGGCAGATGTGCTGAGAGCAGTCAGCCATTCTTCACAAATGGAGACCAACATTTTTCACAGGGACAAGGGGGAATGGTTTTAATTGAAAAGGGGACAGATATAGCTTTGATGTTAGGAGGAAATTTACTCAGAGGGCAGCGAGGCACTGCACAGCTGCCCAGAGAGGCTGTGGGTGCCCCATCCCTGGAAGCATTCAAGGCCAGGTTAGATGGGGCTCTGGGCAGCCTGAGCTGGCAGCCCTGTGCATGGCAGGTTTTCTTCAGTTTGTACTGCAGAGTGACAGCAGAGCCTGGCTGAATGGGTAGAAGGGACCATCTCCTGCTCAGAGACCACTCTGGCCACAAAAAGCATCTTCAGTCACGTAACATGTTTGTTCAATAATGTATTGTTAGAAAAGCCTTGTAGTTTGTAGGTAGCATACATCGCTGCATTTACATGAACTGAAGGCTGCAGAGACAAGCTACAGTCCTATAGGAATGCAGCCAACCCATAATGCCACCCACAGTCAAGATGAGTGAACGTAAGGGAAGAACCAGCTCTTATGTGAATTTAACCTGGCCAAACCCAGGGATGACATCTCCAGATATGCCCCTAGTCTCCTCTTACTGATCTGAAACACAGACTCTCCAATGAAAAACTCTCACATTTTCCATTTTGCAAGCAAGTCAGTGTGCTAATCTTCAAGAATTACATGGAGTTTCTATGAAATGCTACCTGAGTTGGTTTGCTTGCTTCTTTCTCTTCACCACTCTAAACAAGCATGTCAGAGACTGAGCTGTATGATGGATCAGGCCTGACATGTGGACTGTTCTAGCACTCTGTGATAGGTTTTATAATAGGCAACCATCACAAAAGATCTTGTGTGTAAACTTACAACCAACAGACCCTAGTGCGTAAACACTGCTTATTAGATTTAGTCTCGAGGAAAGCATCTGACATGAATTCCTTGTGACCATCGATGGCCCAAGGGCTCTGTTAAAAAGGAAAAAAAAGCAAATTGTAATTCGGATGAGTAGATCTTCACAGGGTATTACATCACATGGAACTGCACAGCCAAGCAGACTGCAGGAGCATCACGTTGCTGAAAGCATGTGAGGACATACTAAGAGCTGCTTCAGCATCCCTCACTGCACAGACAGCATCGCAGTGCATGTCTCCATCTTTTTCCTTTTTCTCATGCTAGGCCTGGGTGCAATGACAGCAATGAAGTCTGATTACTTTCAAAGGTCAGAAAAAATTCTGTGAGGCAACACTGATTTACACCTGCTTTTTCTTTTTTCTTCTTTTTTTCTAACAGGCTCCTCATACATTGGCTGGAAATTGAAGATAACAGTTTCAGGAACACTAACTCAGGAAAAATTATGCCCCACTCTCTTCCCTGTGACTTTTCTGATAGGTCTCAAAGGTGAAAGCCAGTTAGCACTAGGTAAACAGGAATTTTCCCCCATAAGTGAGATTCTGACTGAGAGTGAGGATAAAGAATATGGGGAAGGCAGATGCAGCGGAATTGCCAGGTCACAGCCTGATCCAATGGTTGAGCTCCAGGCGAGAAGGTGTAGCTAATCCACTGCTTGCACCTGAGTGAACGGAAGAGGAAAAGCTTGGATCCACCCCTCCTCACCCTCATTCAAGGGCTAGCAGCTGAGGGAACAGTATCTCTCTGGATTGTACTCTTCTTGAGCTGTCCCTGGTTGCTGGAAGGAGTGAGCTAATTCTTCTTTCTTTGTTACCTGCTATTGCTCTATTGTGCCTCTATCCCATTAGAAGGCATAGAAGGCATTGTCATTGCCTTCTTTTGTCATACAGCACATCATACAGTAGCATCCCTGAGATGCAAATAAGTGTACTCTCAACTGGAAAGACAGAGGAAAGAAATAAGCAGAAGTAGAGATCTACATTCCCTGTAAGACAGCACTAGGTAAAATGCTGTCTTCCTAACTGTAATGTGCAAACGTAACACTGCCAGCAATGAGGTGTCCTATAGTTTTGATACAACTAGCTTTAACACTGGACTAGCAGCTTATGTCAGAAATGCTACTGCTTTGTCTTTACTAGGATTTGCCTCAAACTAGAGAAGTAAGGCTGTTCACCCTGTGTCAGGCATTGGCTACTGCCAGCTGAACAAACTAGGTAGCTACTGCAGGATTCTTCCAGTTTGTGGTCTGAAGAGACTTCTGCAAAATTTGGAGAAGGTGTCTGACCCAAGTACTCTGGGCTGAGTTTCTTCCACTCTTGTTCTACAGAGGGCAGGCTGGCAAAACCATGCACCCACAGTACAGCATTCCACTTCAGTATCCCAAATAAAAATAATGCTAATTTCTAGCCCAGATGCTCTTCCACTGAGAAGCACTGTTTGTTGCAAGATTTCCCCAGAGACTTTCAAGATGAGGCTGGATAAAACCCTGGGCAACATGATGTGGTGCCCCTGTTCATTGCAAGGGAGTTGGACTAGATGGCCCTCAGAGTTCCCTTTGAACTCTAAAGATTCTATGATTTTTGGATCATTTGAGTGCTCTAAAGCTCAGCCCCTGCTGTAACTGCAAGGAGAAATACTCCAGTTCTTATATACACAAGGCATTAAGGCACTACATTGTAGGGAAGAGACAGCAATGCAAATCATGCTTCCTGTATCTAGCTTGCTGGGGTTTTTTTTGTTACTGAAGCCAAGTAGCTATAGGTTCAGATCTGAAAATCTCATATAGTCCAATTCAAAACTCAGGTTTGTTTCAGTGAATGTAAAAGGACTAGACAAAGCTGTACAATTCTGCTTGCTCTACTACTGTTCCATGAAATTACGGCACCGTTCTGTGATCTAAGCTTCTGTTATACTCCAGTTCTAGGAATATGAGAGAAAAGCAAGGTGGGATAAGGAGTAATGAACTTTTTGCTGAAGGCACCAAGAAGTAGATCTACTGGCTTGGCCAATGCTTGGTTACCTTCAAATATACATCAAGATGTGCTTCTGCCAAGCTCTCAAACCCAGCAGTTATGGCAATCTTTTTATGCAAAGATTGTTTCTCTAATGATAAAGAAATGTAAACTTTAATTCATTCTTCATTTGAAGATCTTAGCTGTTACAAAAATGTAAAATAACTATCACCTGCCTCATTTGCTGATGCTTGTGTGTACAGTGGGAACACATGTAGAACTTAGCAGACCACAAAGCCAAGCCAAATAGCTAAATTTCTTGCAAACCCATGAATCCTGTTAAGGTTCAAACTTTTTAGCTGGAAACTCTACAAAAGAAATAGTTCTTCACACTATTTAGTAAAGTCTTATATACCACCACCACAAGGCTGGCCGATGGCCCACTGCTCAGAAATACTTGACTTGCAAGCATAACACCAGCATACTGAGAAAGTCTTGTTGCTGCCCACAGCACTTGTGGGCAAAGGTAGCTTTGCCGCTTGCAGTGCAGCATGCTGCCCCTGAAATGGGGACTGGTTCCTGCAGCACACAGGCAGACCCTGCTTAGTTGGGAGGCTCTTCCTGACCTGAGGGAAAGCTGCAGGGCTTTCTTTCTCAGTAAAGAACATGCCACGTAGAAAAGGCCCTGTTGCTGATCCCAGACTGTTCACAAAAGCCTGTCAGATTTGCCAGTCATTTTGACTGATTTTGGTAAGTGCAGGATGAAAGGATGGCTTTAAAAAAATCAAATGAACACAATTTTCAAATACACTAAATTAAAGGCATTGTGAAGGTTTCTATTTATTTATTTATTTTTTTTAATAAAAAATTAAATGATTGCATTGGCTGGAAACAGCTCCCCCTACTGTTTTCCTGAAATCCTCCCAAACAAAGAATCATTCTTGAGTACCTCCAAAATACTTTCAATTTTTTGATTCAGCTATTAAGGTATAAAAAATCAGTTCCCCTGCTTGGAGTTCTTATAAAACGCTGTATAAGCCTGAGCAGCATGTAAGCTCATTAGTAAAAAGGATATGTTTGCTGTCATTGCAGGTATCTGGCTTACTTCTTCACAAAGCATTAAAATATCAGGTAGATTTTATTTTGGGTATTGGAGAATTGATGCTTTATACGACAGGAAGGCACTGGTAAATTTTTCAGCCTGCCAAGCTGCCTGTGGTAGAGCTACACGAGCTATTCAAAAATACAAATGGAGCTTTAAAACTGGCTTTCAAAGCAATGAATGCTGTAATTTTCAGACATGTGCTGGAGCTGGCATTCATAATGAATGGACTTAAAGCTACACAACTAAAATTTCTGCTCTGCTCCTGGTGGCAAGATGAATAGTGCAATCTTCTGGAGAAAAAAGATGCTTGAATCCCTACTACAGCTGGAAATCTCTGCAAGCTTAGGAAAGAGACAACCTGAGCCTGATTTATCAGTTGCAGTGGTGAACTTTTCAGGCAGCTTGTGGCCACATCATTTAAATGGCAACACAGCTCATTAGAGAGGATAGAAATATACAGAAAAATGGAGTCTGCCCCAGTCTGCTTTTCTGAATGCCAACTGGCAGCAATCCTTCAGCACTTGGTAAAATGATATAGTCGGGCAAATTTAGTTATTCCAGTCTGGACTGATTAGGAAATAATCCAATAGTCCTTACAGTAGGATTTCAAGTTAATGCTTCTTGTAGCTTGTAAGTTAGTTTCTAATGAAATGGATTCAGACAAATGAGATACTACTGTGTGAAAATAATCCTCGTGTACATCTCCCCTTCAGAAATACAGTTCTATAAATAATGTCATTAGAGATCCCTCTCACATGTCGCAGAAATGCATTCAAGCTGCAACAGTAACACAGATGATGAGTTGGATTAGTTAGAACAAAGACAGACTCCACCTCAAACTTCCACACTGAGTACAGAGCAGGATTAATTACTTTACACTAACTCCTGAGATGCAAGCTCTCAAAAAAGCATATTTAAACTTGAGAATCATTGGATCACAAGGTACTGAGGTGGAAGGATTGTGCTTTTCTGGCCAAGATGTCCCTCATATGGACACTGACTAGTTATCTTCAGTGTGTGTTGAAACAGGTTGAAACTTCTTCTGGTAGCCTTTTATTATATTTTAAAAAAAAAACAACAAACAATAACAACAAAACCACAAAGAGATGTTCCAGGCTAATGCATCACTATCTTTGGGGTTCCCTCTTTTTGTTAAAGTTTTCACAAAATACAAATGTCTTTTCTACATACAGAACAAAGTAGAATCAAGTAACTGATTAGAGTATGTACAAAAACTTACACATCACCTTGTTCTTTAAAAAATATAAATATCAATAACGTTCAGTAGAATGGGTTGGTTTTATTTTTAAGGCTTCATTCTTTTAGATCCTTCATTATTTAATGAGATGCCAGGTAGGCAGGAAAAGCAGGAAAGAGAGGACGTGATTTTCTTTTATTAAAAGTAACATGTTTAATTCTCTTGAGAGTCTTCCTCATCTCTGTTAGGAGGAGACACAACTGAGTTTCGTTCCCCCCAGAGTGATTTAAGTTTCCAGGAAGCAGTGGTGGAAGGAAAGAAAAATAAAACCCTTATTATTGCTATTTGTTTCCTTCACCAAAATCTGGTTTTAAACCTGTCTCTGTTCACTGTCACTGTAGAGAGCCATCTGCACAGTACTTGGATTAAATAGACTCAAGCAGGAAGACTTTGCCCCAGGTCCACATGGGAAAGGTTAAAGTGAGGATGAGACTGCTGGAAGTGTTTTACCATTGACTCCAGCAGAGGTAGCAAGTGCTGCAGCTAGGGCAGCTGCTGCTGTTGCATCCCTGGGCGTGAAGTCTGTGGGGAGGCTTTCCATCAGGCACTTGAGCTGCTCCTGACCCAGTTTGATTTTATCATCTAGCTCTCGTTGCTCTATGAGGAGTGCAGACTTCATCTTTACAAAGTGCTGGTAGTCCTGGAGCTGTTCCTCAGAGAGGTAGTTGCCCAGGATCTCCAAAACCACCCGTTCTCGACGGTCGAGGTTTTCCTTCAATTCCCGGGCATCTTCATGCTGGCCAGCCAGCAGTTTCCTCTTCTCATTCAGAGAGCTCTGTACACACCAGAGAGAGCACTTCAGTATTAGCAGCACTATCACTGACACTCACTGATCCCCCCCTCTTCTGCCCCTGACACCAAATTTGCCACCTCTTGGTGAGGCAAGTTGGCTGCTAAGTTCCCAGACGCGCAGCCAGGAGCCTGCGGAAGGAGGATGAATTACTCATTGTGGGCTAAATGTGAATCCCACTGAATGTGAATATGAATGCTCTGATCAATGTGGGGTAGAAAGGACCCCAAGAAAATCAGTAAAACTTTCTCAAAAGCAGCGACTGCCAGGAAAATCTGGCTCTGTCTCTTACAACCACCCAAAAAATGCTAAAATGTGTCTTCAACTGAAGTAAAAGGCAGTTGTTGCTTCACAATACAGAATACCATGCAGCCTTTCTTCCACATGCTGGTCACAGACTTGCTGTGCCAAACACAGACATTGTTTGGAGATAAAAGCCACAGGATCTGAGACACTTGTGCAAATGTGAACCAAGACTCCTAGGGACAGAACCATGTTTGCTTTGGCTCATAAAGAATCAGTGAGGCACCTGTCTTTGAGCTTATAGAAGCAGGATCTTTTGACTGTTACAGCAGAGAAAGGCCAAGAGGCCACAGTTGTACAGATACGTACCCGCTCTTCACTGTTGGCATTTTCCCCTAGGCTACTGAGAACATTCTCTACCCGGGCCAGGCGTCCTGAGAGAGAAAGCAAGAGGTTCACCACCTTATCCAAATCGCCGATGAACATCTTGTATTTGTCAAACTCGTTTGGTTTGCATAGCTCGCTGATCAACAGCTCCACCTCCTCTCCGAGAGCATTATTCATTTTGATGTCTGCAAGTAAGCCTTCCTTTGCTTCCTTCAGGATTTCCAGTTTGTGGGTCAAGCTCCCGATGAGCTCAGCCTGTCAGAAGGGAAACACATTGCCACGCTGGTCATTACCATGATCACAGAGTTCATTTGGATGATGACAACAAGAGTTGTTACAGTTCATGAGGAGCAAGGTCAAGTCAGTAGCAGCTGACAAAGATGACAGCCAGAAGGGAACAGAGAACACTCTGAATTTCCACATTCAGGCGATAATCTGAATCTGATAACCTGGTAAGATTACATGAAGATATATTTGTTCTATCATCATGAACATCTTCAAAAGAGACATCCAATTTGGTGTGCCATATTCTCATATCCAGCTACACGCATCTGAAATTGTATGTACCTTCCTTCAAAATATTCTTTTAAAACTCTGGATGAAAAGAACACTGACCACATATGCTGCATCTTATAGCTCCCTGCCCCAGCCTGAAGTTTCTTGCGATGTTACATGTTGTATGACCCAGAATTGTGCAAAACAACCAATTGATAAATGAATTTAAGCAGTATTATTAATGACATGACAGGAAACTGAACTGGTATGTGTGGTTACATACTTGGTAAGAAAGAAGGACACTTCCCCCTCTTGCAGTACCCTGAAAGTGCTGACTGCTCCTTATTTGGCTGCCTCAGTGTTTAGATGCAAGCCTCAAATTCAGCCCTGACCAAGGAGACATCATCAGCATGATGATATCTCTGCACTGGCTGTGCAGACCCTGCCTTATACTGAGATGCACCAGAAAAGCATTTGTACGGAAGATGCTCTAAATGTACTTAGTGTCAGATCCATGAAATACAAAGCACATGCATTTTGTAACGGTAAAGGCAACTGTTTCACTGCTGAAGAAAAGGAGGTCTCCAGGGTTCAGCTACTCCAGAAGCAGCAGTGCTGCAGGTGTACTGGAGATAGAAACTTCAGTTAGGATTTAGGAGAAAGACGTATGCAAAAGCAGAAGTCCGTGGCCTGAGGCTTGCAGTTCTTGCCTCTATTCAGTTGGAAGTGACAGTGTAGTGCAGGAAAAGCTCTTGATGTAAAGGATGGGTTATGCTTAGTTTCTTCAATTTATGCACTGACAAAGCACCATTCTATGTATGCTAATCTACTCAGCATACTAACATTGCAGGACATAATAGAAGCAGATCACAACATTGTTTGAAAGTATTTTCTCAAAGTTTACTAACACAGCCTTCTTTCCATCAAAACTGCTGGTAATTTCAAACAGAAAAGTGTTGCTTTTTTTTTTTTCCAGAAGAAAGAGTATCTTTAAACCCAGGTCAGGCTTGGGGTGCTTTTGAAGCAAAAGGTAATGTTGAGGCAGACACCACTAGATGGTACACTCTGTGCATCTTCTGGAGCCTGTGCTTTTCTGGCCACATTACAGTCCACTAGCAGCTTCCTCATATATGCCAAAGCTTAATAACATGCGAGCATATTCTCTAGAACAAATGTTGGGTTGCAGGTCTATGCTGGATTGACTGGTAATTCATGCCATTTCTTAATGGAGCATTCAGTGGGAGAGATCCCACCTGCTAGGATAAGGGATAGCTGCAATTCCTTTTTATGGATTCTCTCCTTACTACGACAGGTAGGATCCAGGGAGAACCAACACTTGCCCTCCCCTTTGCCTGAGATGCCAGTGTCATTCCCAGAAGATCTGAGATCCTTATCAATTGACTTCTAGATTAAGAGCTCCTGAGGAGCAGAGGGATGGAGCCAATCTCAACAACTACAGTGGCAGGGAAGAAAACCCTGTCTCAGGATTCTGTACAGTGGACACAAAGTCTGGCATTAACCTCAGCAGGCTTTCAGGAGGCCTGAATTGCTGAGAGCTGGCAGTCACTCCTCCCTGCTGCAGAAGCTCTGCAGAACATGCAGGCCTGCTCTCCTGCCCTTGCTAGCAGGAGGCCACAGGTCTGTCGGGAGTGATGTACCTTTTTTCTGAAGGTCTGGGAGCTGGATGGGGACTACTTCGTGTTCATTAATCAGGGACTCTCCTACTCTCCTACAATCCCAAACACCAACCCAGTCCCTTTGCATGTTTACAATGGAAATGAGTTTAGTTTATCAGAATCACCTCTCAGATTAGCTGCCTTCCCAGATAACACCTATGCAAATGAAATTTCATACATGATATTTCATACAGAACATGAACAAACATGCTGGATGGGCCTGGTCACTCCTATCTATTTCTATTTTTCCATGCAAATGCCATCTTTGAGACTTGTCTTCCAGAGGTAGGCACACATTTCCCTGTAAGCCTGTGAGATACTTTCAGAGTTCCCTTGGAGAAGCACTCTTCTCGTGTTCACTACTTCTTACCTTTCAGGTTGGTATGAGCAGGCAGCTGGGCTTGAAGTCAATTGAGTTGATTGTATACTATACGCATGGCAGGCTATGGCCTTTGTCAGGTGCTTTTGACTGGTGACATATGCACCATCATGCACTAAATATCTGTGAAATCACACGTATTTGTACCGGTGGCAAGCACAGCAAGTGTATCTTAGACCACAGTTCCCTAAAGGCTCAATGAGGTCCTGCCTGCATCCCAAACACTCCACCAACTAAGGCTGATCTACTCACTCACTGCTCTTGTGTTAGATGGAGTTCTCATTCTGGGTATCACTGTATTAAAGCCTGGAAGGAAGCAACTTTTGCTTAGCAAAAAAGTGTAAGAAAAGAAATGGTAAAGCAATGCTAAGAAGAGAGGTAACCTCTGCCTGTCAGAACTGCGGGATAAACTGCATACTCCCAAACTACACAGTTTCACATCTTCTGCACTTTTACACTTGGCGTAGGAGTGGGGATCTAGAGAGAAAATGTGAAGCTGTCCTAGAGACACATGAATTTCCCATGCTCTGAAAGACGAGGTTTGGGACCCTTTCTTTAAATCTGTGCCTGATTTCAGTTCAGGAAAAATAAAGAACTCTGTTTACAGCATGAGACTTGCATAAATATTTTCATCCTTCAGTTTGTTTAATCTCTGCTCTTTGTACAAACAGCATGAACTATGAGCTGTGTCACTTTGTCCACAGCAACATCTAATGGTTTATGTTTACAGGCAGGTCTGGGTGCTTTTGACGTGAAGATAGGAGTTGTGTAAAGAGAGACACAGACATGCAAGTACCTGCATGTGGCTCCTTGGAATTTGTGAGCTTCACAACATATCTGTAATTAGCAAGTAACCGATAGGAGACACTACAGGGGCAAATTAGGGAGCTCTGCAAAAGCCCTGGAAGATGGAGTATCCAAACTTAAAGCAAGAAGCTCAGGGGACAGTGAAACATAGCTGCAGCACAAGAGCAAAATGTATCCTGCTTCCCTGCCCTGCTCTCCCACTCCCTACCCAAGTCATCACATCAAGGTTGTGCTGACTGAATTGCTGAGGAGTGCAGTTTCCTGAACATTAGTGAAACAAAAAGGTGTGGTGAAAAGGAGTAACCAACGTTTTTCTGGAAGTGTTGTGTGCAGACAACAGGTGAAATGGGTAAGCTGCCAGGAGGAAAACCATAGGGTGAAACTTTATCCAGAAAGATGGTACAGTAACTAGCAGGACTACATTCCTATTTCTAAGCCAACATGTCCTTACTGAGGTCACTCGACTTCTGCCTTTTTCTGTCTTGCTGTGAGGCAGTGACTGCCTCTTACAACCTATATACTCAGCCTTTGGCACAGGCCATCTTCATAGTTGTGCATGATTTGTACTCAAACATGCAGTCAGATTAGTCCGCTTTGCTCTCTGGATCACTGTAACGAAGCTTCTCAAGTAGCCTAAATGCATCCAGATTCCATGCACCTTGGGGCTGTATCAGCCAAATGCTGAATTCAAATAGACATGCACTTTACTCTAGGGTTTGTAATTACTTCATGAATGTAACTAGGAAGTGGTGATGTGTGCTTTGAATTTACCTTCTTCTCGTTGATGTCCAACAAGTCCTCCTCCTCCTCCCCTACTTCTGGCAAATCTTTGATTTTATTCAGTAGTTCTGCTTTGGGTGCTGAAACATTATAATAAGCAGGGCAGGTGACCATGGTTACAGGAGCTTCCTTTTCTTCTTTCCTACATCACAGTGAAGAAAAAGGAGTTCAGTATGAGCCTTTTTGCCACGCCTAGATCCATGGTCTTCTAGCACTCCCTCTTCAGTACCCCCTCGGTATTAACCACAAAGGAAATAGCGGATTCTCAGCAGCAGAGGGTGCACGTCAGCTGCTTTCGTCTCTCCTGTGCACAACTACTTTGTTTAAATACCGACTGGCTAACAGCTCTAAATAGGGCCAGATCTTTGCTGTAGATAAATCAGCACAGCTCAGCTGGTGATGATTAGACTGGCATCAAGCATTACAACTTATTTCTGTGCAGTTCTGCAGCTAGTTCTCCAGCTGGGAGTCTGTTTCTTTGAGTAGTCACACTGCAGGATGTGGACTGGTCTTTGCATCTGGTTGCAGTCAGGCACACCCACCTCTCCTTTCCAAACTAGGCCCCTCATTATCTTTTTCCCACCACTGTTACGGTCCTGATTTTACTCTCACACTTGACATGGCTCATTTCCTGCCCCACTATCAAGTTCAGCATTGTTTTCTAATGCATCCTGAAGAAATGAGCTCATCTACAGAAGAACTGATGAGAAAAGTCATTCAAAAATGCCCTGCCAATCCTCACTCCTGGGATCAGAGAAACTCACCTTCTGCCACTATCTACAATGATTAGGACACATTCTGCACAAGCTCATGCCTTAAAGCAAGGTAGCAGCGAATTCTGCTGCAAAGTTAACCACAATCACAATGAACAGTGCTTACGTGTTATCTTCTGCTACTGTCCTGCTAGCTTTCTTCTGTGTCATCTTCCTTTTCATGTTGTTCTCCTTCAGCAAGCTGGTTCCACTGGGGAAAAGCCCCTCCATTAAGTCCATGGTTGTCTTCATTTTGGAGTCAGGATCCAGGATATCAGCCAGAGACTTGTCTTTATGGACAATCTCTTTTGCTAAAGCCTCTGACTTAATATCCTCTGGGCTTTTTTTCTTTGTCTTCATTGGAGGACATGTGTTGAGTGTCCCAGAGTCTGCACCACTATTTTCTGACTCTGTGGTGATAACTGCTGGTTCTCTGTGGTTGCCCTCAGGTTGAGTTGTGGGTTCTCCATTAGAGCTTTGAGACCCTTCAGAAGTAGCTGATTGGTGCTGCTTATCCACAGCAGGTGAAGAATTAGTCCTCTTTGATAAAGATGGTGAGAAGGACCAATTATTTTCACTGACATTGGTGCCCAACCCTGTTATCTCCCTCTTGGCCAGGGCTTTGGAAAAGCTTTTGAAGCTGCTATGGACAGAAAAATTCTGTGAGATGAAGATAAACTTACCACACAGGATGTTTGTGAACACATGATGAAAGCCTAAGACAAGTAAGTTTTCCTTCTCACACATTCATTTCTGTCTCTTACTTTGCCCACACTGTGAAGCTACTGGCACCAGAAGCATTCCGTTCCCTCAATCTGGATGCTGCCGTTTTGTCATTCCACCGTAGAAAGCACCAGTGAGTGTCAGTTTGTTTTGTGCTCATGGGAGACACTGAGTCTCACCACTTGGGAATGCCAGCCTGAGCAGTCCACACTTGATACGGCCTTTTCATGTTAAGAAAGCCCTAGCCAGAATCTTCCCTGGAGGAAGAATCCCTCTTTCCTCCTTGATAGTAAGGGAAGTTGTGCCGAGTTAAATCGCTGGGCACCTAGCCCCTACCCCAATCCTTCAGGACAAATGCATTATACAGTGTTACTGTGACATATTAGTGCTGTCGCTTCTTGGCACATGGTTGCTGTTTCGTAACAGGAGTGTTTTGTGCCAGATATAAAGTGTATTCTGGGAATTCTAACAGTTTGGAAAAACGTGAATTTTCATACTTTTCTCTCAGAAAACAGTAACTGGAAAGAGTAAGCAACTATTCTTACTCTTCATGCTGGTGTGTGAGAAGAAACCCCACTGAAATCCATACAGTAATTGCAGGAAGCATGCAGGATATTTTCTCACTTACAACCCTCTTTGCCTTGCCCACTACACACCTGTCAGTGTATCTGCTGATGGACACAAAGCTTTTAGCCTTCATTCTTTGTGACCTGTCCTGTCCATATCATTTAACAATGCTCTTGGCAGCTAGCAAAATCCTGGGGCAGTGAGTCTGTCTGTCTGTCCCTCTCCCCTTATAATCTGTGCAATCCCCTGCAAAGCTTCACACTCGGCTAGCAGCTGTGGGTGGATTGTTGCAGAATGCCAAGCTGTGGAGGTCAGTCACATTTGGCTAGAGCGCCACATATCTTACTGTATATGGCCCTACAGTGCCCGAGATGCTGTGTGATAGCTCTCCCTTACCTCACTTTGTCCTCTGTGAGCCTGGTGGACGTGTCTCCAGCTGCCCCGTATTCCTCAAGTGCAGTTGGTGGGGAAGGAGGTGGGAATTCCTCCGTGCCATTCGCAGAAGTGCAAGAGCTCAACTCAGGAAGAGAATGGGGTGGCAGTGGGGGTGAGAAGGCCGGAGCAGTGACAGCAGGCTGGGAAGGCATGATGAACACCTCATCGTCTTCATCATCCTGCAGCAGCGGTGGAGGCGTGAGCTGCAGGCACGACTCTGAGATCCGGAGGTGAGTTGTCGCCTGGGGAGAAGGAGTCTCTGGGTCAGAGGAAGTGCTGCTCTGTGTTGGGAGGGACTGCCACCTGTGGGAGAACTTTGGCCCATCTGCTGGAGGAGGCACCACAGCATGTGGCAAGCTGTTGTCTTTGACTGAGTGAGCCCACATCACTCTGTGTGGGAGGGATCTTTGCAGCAGCCCTGCTTTCCTTCTGCATACAATCTCCTCTTCAGGAGCCTCGACGGACCTATCCTGAACAGCATCCGAAGACGGTGCCTGAGCAGTACTGCTGCCCCCAAAAGGAAAAGCATCTTGTTCGGCATGGTGCTGTCTCAGAGCCTGGCCATCACCTGTGGCCTGCAAGTCGGAAGCAGGTGTACTAGGGGAGGACTGGCTAGATGCAGAAGGAATGAGGAACGTGGATTTAAAGCCTTGCTTTTGCTCAGGATAGTGACTCCTTGCCTCTGTTGGAGATGGAACAAATGCAGAACTCCTGCCATCTTGTCTGGAAAGCTCTGAGACCTTATGGTTCTCGGTCAGTGCGGAAGACCCAGTGCCAATCTCACTGATGTGGTGTGCATGGGGATAATAACTTGTAAATGTCATTTTTTCTGAGTGGCTTCTTTCTTTCTTGCTGAAAGACCTACAAAAACAAGAGATAGACCACTTAAGGTTTAACAATTAATCAAGGATCAGGAAAAGCTACTGTACACCTGCTTAGAGATCAAATTAGGCAACCATTCTGGAGGCCTGAGTCAGTGCTTGCTAATCCACGTGAGGTTCAGTCATGATTTTGAAATGCAGAGGTAAATGCAGTCTACTAGCTCTAGGGACACTAAGCCAGATCCACTCCCACTCACCATCTCCTACAATTTTCAGTGTGAGCCAGACCACACAGATCTGTGCACACACACAGTGAGCATCACAGCAAAAACTCAGTAGAAAAAAATCTTGGAAAAATCTGATTGCCTTGCTTCCCTTCAGTCTCATTTGGATTCTGTTTATTACAGATAAAGGGGAGAGGCACAGGTAGTGAATGCAGTAAGGAAAATTATTTGACATAGTCTACCATCAGACAATGGACATACATATGACACAGTCTACCATAAGACTACATCAATTGCTGTAAAGTGTGACAATTAGTCTGGAGTACTGTGTCCAGGCCTGGGGACCCCAGCACAAGAAAGATGCAGAGCTCTTGGAACAGGGAGGACCACTAAGATGATCAGAGGGCTGGAGCACCTCTCCTGTGAACAAAAGTTGAGGGAACTGGGCTTGTTTAGGTTGGAGAAGGGAAGGCTCTGGGGAGACCTCATTGTGGCCTTCCAATATTTGAAGGGAGCATATAAACAGGAAGGGGCATGACTGTTTACATGGGTTGATAGCGATAGGAGAAGGGGAGATGGTTTTAAACTGAGACAGGAAGGTTTAGGTTGATATTAGGAGAAGTTCTTCACACAGAGGGTGGTGACACACTGGAACAGGCTGCCCAAGGAGATTGTGGATGCCCCATCCCTGGAGGCATTCAAGGCCAGGCTGGATGTGGCTCTGGGCAGCCTGGTCTGGTGGTTAATGGCCCTGCACATAGCAGGGGGTTGAAACCAGATGATCTTTGAAGTCCTTTTCAACCCAGGCCATTCTATGACTTCCTGATTCTATGAATTTCCACCTTATGGACCAAAAAAATCCCATCACGTTATTTGCTCCCTTTGGGAAGTACTATTGTAAAGATTGCACTCTTTTTATTAAAAAAAAAAAAAGTGAAGTAAAAATGCGCTACTTTGACTTCACAGAAAAATTTTAAAAGCTCTTACAAATGTTGGGATTCCATTAGGTAAAAGAGTTCCACTTATGCTTGCAGTTGTTACAAAAAAAATCACAACATTCTTCAAGCACATGTTACGGTTGCAAACAAAGAAGATTATATTATTCTTTCCTTATCTTTTAACAGATAATCATGTAAGCCTAAGAAACAGGGTCTGGCCTCTGAAGCAAAGATCCTGCTCAGAATATGTAGTCAAACCTACTTGCTTGTATTGTTATTTAGTTGGAAAACAAAATGAGTTGTAATAATAGCACTAGAAGATGCAAGAGAAAATGGCCTAAAAACATGAGGCCAGACCATAAAACAATAAAACACAATAAAGCTGTACTGCCAATGCATTTTCTGTTCTCGAGACACATTGTTCAAGCAGTCTTATGCTTACTTCCAGCCCATCATGTTTGAGACTTGGGGCCCAAATTTGTTCCCAGACACGCTGGTACAAATTAAAAACAACTCTGACAAAGACATGGGTCGTTCTGGCTTAATTCTGGTGTAACTGGGAACAGAATTTGGCAGCCTTTGCCTGAGGGCAACTTCCCAGACAGAATACTCTTGGTATTGTCTGTGGTTCCTGGACAGTAGCAATGTGTATTCTTTTAAGATGCTCAGTATTTGTCAGAAACACCAGATGGTAATTCTCTAATTTAAAGATCTCTCCTACTGTGGAGGCAACTGTGGGTTCTAAAACTGGTGGAGCAACAATCATTCCTAGCAGTGCTTATGAGCCAGCTATTGTGTGACACCTGCAGAGTAGATCAGTAGCATAGAACATAAGTTATGCAGCGTGTGTGACAAGACCAAATGCTCATTTGTGTAAGCTGACCATCTGATAATTTTCCCCCTTGATCAAGAGAGATGGTACAGATGGTCCCATCTCCTCTTCATCACATTAAATGGTTGTGTTCCAAGGGAACCTAAAAGTGCCTGGTACTGACTCTCCAGAAGGGCATGTGCATGCAGTGTGATGCAAGCAAAGACAGGATGGTGATGGTTATACATGAGAGGACTGGCTAAAAAATAGCTGACAATCACAGGACAGAAAAGGATTTGCATCTTTTAAGAGATGGATTAAAGATGTTGCAGTAATCCTGTTTTACCCAGACTGTGATATACTCACACCAGAGTAGGAGAAGGTTCAATGTTATCCTGATAGCAGAATTCCTCCTGAATATGGCTAAGGATCTAGTTTACATGTCCTTATAACTTTGCAGAGGATTCATATCTTGTTCCCACTGAGACTTAACTGCAAAACTTCTTCTCACCTCAGGAACACAGTATCAGAACACTTTTGCTTTCAAAAATCCTGCCCACTCTTACTTAGTCCACTCCAAGCTCAGCAATACGTATATTAAAAAAAACATTCAACAGCAAAGGCTGAATGGGGAGTGCTTTGAAGCCTTTGTGGTGGGAACCTGCATCCTCAGAGACAAGGGCTTTTTCTTGTCTTCTCTCATCCAATTCTGATCTAGAGGGGAAAGCAACCTCACATCTCCCAGAAGAAATGTGCTTGCAGAATATGCAAGACACCAACAGAGCAGAAACTTTATAAGAATGTTGGGTTAATACCAACAACATTTGTATAATGAAGCATGAAAATGAGAATCCTACCCTTTGTGCCACAATAAGCTTTTTTTTTCAGTCTGGATGATCCGTTTCATTATATAGAAAAGAGTTTGGATTAAAAAAAAAAAAAGAAAACAGAAACCAGTTTTTGGGAAGAATGATGAAATGCCAGCTCTAGAACATACGGGGAGGGAGGCAGGATGAACTAAAAGAGCTGTGATGTACTCTCAAGGAAACAGAAAAGAAAAAAGGAAAAAATTATCTGAATTTAAGAGGAAGGGTGCATTTTAGGCAGTCATAAAAGGACAAGCCTGAAAGAACGAGCCCTTTAAAACAACATTTATGTTTTCTTAGGAAGAAAAAATTTGCCAGCCACAGACGAAGTAAGATCCAGCTAGACTACATGCTTTCCCCTACTTGCAGCTGTAACTCCCTTCCCAGAGCTGCAGAGTGAAACTTCGGAGACAGCAGTGTTAATCCCAGTGTGACAACAGAGTGGGACAACATTTACTGCAAGTTTGTAAAAGAAACAGAGCTCATTTGTGAGTAATTATTTTGGTCTCTCTTGATGGTTTTTACTGTAAGCTAACGGTTAGCTTAACGGTGCTCAGAGCTTAGGGCAAGTATCTATTTATTATTTAAATGTAAATATGGCAAGATTAACTTCAGTCCTAGTTAGCTTCAAAACAACCTACTGCTAAAAGAATAGTTACAAAAGTCCCAATATTATGCGTTTTATTATTACACTCTTCTATTTTTAAAAACATTTGTCTCTGTCCTGTTGCTGAGCAAGATATCCTGCCTACACAAAATAAAGCAGCCTAGATGCAAAGCTCTCAGATAAATGAGATCTCCCTGTTTTAGCTCACACAGATGTTCATTCGCTTCTGGGGAGGCAGCATCCAGGACTGGAGAAAGCCAGACAAAGAGAGATATCATGGTATATTTTCCTTTGGAGTCCTTCAGTTCTGATAATTTCTAACAGTAGATGAAACACATTTGGAAGGTACATGATTTGTCTGTTGCTGCAGAAACACACACCAAAACAACATGACTGTGGAGAAAGAACTTAGAGTGAGTTAATGTCTGCACTGGGAAAAACAGCTCATGACAACTTACTCCTTCTAACTCCACTGGGCAGAGCATGCTCCTATCTGCATCCACACAGACTTCTCTAGTTTGTCCCTAGCCACCCACTGACACAGACAGCACACCACAACTGCTGCTAGCAGCCAGGTAATAAGAGCTGATCCTGAAGTGATAAAGGGGACAATAACATGTACCCACCTGGCTCCTGCACTGATCACATAGAAAGGATCTCTCCCCATGGCACCAAACTCACTGCTTTCTCTTCTCAGCAGTTCCTGGAGTGGAAAGACAGCATTATCAGAAACAAATGAAAGAAAGCAACAAAACACTGATGCTCCCTACTAAGAAGCCACAGCACGTATCACACAATACTCATAGTTAGGCCCTGCCTTCTCTAAAAACATGCCCAAATGTATCAGTGGAGCTGGGTGCTCACTGATGTTTAAATATGCAAGCAAGAAGCTGAGGTATCATTAAAACAGCCTTAACCAGAGAAGTTGGATGGTGAACAAACTGTGCCCAAACCCAGCACCAAAACAAGAGGAAAATGCTGCAGAGAGATGCTGAGTAGTACAGAGGTCAGGAGCTCCAGTCACAAGCAGATGTGCTGAAAAACATCACCAAGTTTTGCATTCATTTTTCGAAAACTGAAGTGCTGAACCAACTCCTCTTTGGGCATCTGATCTAAAACCAGAGAAATTTCAGAGCTGAAATAGCTTTGTGAATCTGACTCTTTATGCCGTGAGATACCAGACTACTATGAGACATGAAAGCAAATGCTATGCCTGCTTTTGAAGAGGTTGGTATTTTCTCCCAAATGACCTTTTCAGCACAGCGCAACCCATTGCCCCCTTTCCCACACCCTTCCTTGTTTGTTTTTTTGGCCAGTGTTGCTACAGGGTAAGGGTAAGAGCAGGTCTTAATTTAGGAGTTGGAGAGCTGGAAGATATGCAGGCTGAGACAGATTTAAAAAGCAGAAGGGAAAGAAGGCTGAGAATCTGCTCTGAAGATCGAGCGCTAATAATTCCACATGGCTATCTATTTCCTTATATCTCTAAACAAATTCCTACAGTGACATTGCAATGTGATTTATATGTAGCACAAAAGGAATATAATACACTGTACACAAGGCCCTGCAAAATATACAGTGAGGCAGAGAAGTCTGCTGCTAAACTGGAAATAAACATTTCCCATAAAAAAATCACCAGAGGTCCCAGAAAACCCCAACCACCCGGTTGCTCTGACTTTGTCCCTCACTTTTCTTTTACAGTTGTATTGGAGATGGTTCAGAAACAAACTGAGTTAAGAGAGCACTCAAATATGCTTTCAAACAGACACTTAAATGTTGCCATATGTTTGAAGTCAAACGTGCTTTCCTGAATTAGGAATTAAGAACAGGATTTTCACTGCCTCTGTGATAAATACTCACTCCAGAAGTGGATACAGACAAAGCTCTCTGGAAAAGAGCAGCAAGGTCTCTACCCTCTTTCTGGATTTGAAAGAAGACACTGGAAGATGCTGTGAGCAGCTCTGCACCACTGTTTACCATGTCTCTTGAACTAGCTTCCACCAGGCAGCACTCTGGTTTGGCTGATGAACGTACACAAGACTAAAAATGAGCCAGCAAGGGAAACATTAAGGATTGCAAGAACTTCCCTGTGTGTCTCCTGCATGAGACAGCAGGCCTGTTAAATGCGAACTGTTAATTGGCCATTGGGATCTGAGGTCTGTGGAGAGAGGGTACGCAGAATGTAACACCAAGGGGTCTGGTGGGATGACTCCTTCCCCTGCCCAGAGCACTCTCCCCATATTCCTTTCTGCATTACTCGATTCAGTATCCCTTCACTGGGATATCCCTTCCCTTCATAATCCTTCTGGGCAGCAGTAAATGTTTGAATAGCAGGAAGGGTCCTGGGTCTCAGATGCCCTTTAAATATGCAGGCCTGCCCAAACACTCAGACTATTTGCAACAAGAAGACTGCTCACACATTCAGGCTGCTTCCTCCCTCTCTCTGCAATGAACAGAGCCTGGTGTGAAGACAGGGAGAGGGGAGCAGGCTCACCGTTGCTGTAGATCACAGTGGCTTGAGCAGCTGCAGTTACCTAAACAGGTCTGTGCAGATTTCAGCCTGAGCAGTTGTCCTTTAAGAAGTAAGCCCATTTCCACTATTTACTGTCAGTGGAGTCAGTCAAATTCCCTGTTCATGACACATCAGTGCTATGTTCCCAACCACCAAGCAGGGGACATGGAGAGAGCGGACTGGGTCTCCACTAAATTTTCTCCACAACGTTTCCCTCCAGTGCTGGAGGCAAAACTTAGCGGTTACTTGGCAGTGCCTGTTCTGAGCATTTCCCAGCACTGTCAGACACAGCACGGGCAGGGACAATTTCAAGTAGCCTTTAAAATCCTCTGCTTTGCACCAGGGAAGTGGGCTAAGGAAAAACAACAGCGGCAGCATGGAGTACACCCCACCACAAACATCCCAGTGCTTTCCCATTGATGCTGGCAGATAAGCACATGACACTTCAGATGGTCTGCCAGGGACAGGAAGCACACAAGCATGTTATCAGCAGATGCACTGAAATCCCTGCATCTGTGAAATCCCTGAAGGAGCCCCAGTAGTAAGAAAGCAGAACAGAAGCAATAACTCAGCAGCAAGCAATTAAAACAGCATCCTAATGTAAAAGGAATAAATGGTCTTATCTCAGCATGCATTCAACCTTTCAGTACCAATGAAGTTATTGCCAAGACTGAGCATCAGTCTGTTGCCTGACATACCCCGTTTCCCTGCTTTCTTCAACAGATAATCCAATTTCCACATACCTGGTGTTTTTTATCTGCTATGGGCGATGATCTGGAACGTGTGTGCACAGGGACACATGCATTCCTTTGCTGATTGTCACATCTATCAAGCAAGTCTTCCACAGACACTGATTTCCCAGATTTCCTGGGTGCTTCAAAGCTCTGCTCCTTCTGCCCATAGCAAGGCTGGCCCTGCGGGCGCAGAGGGTCTGTCTGCGTGCCTTTGGTGAGCTCCATTTGGGCTCTGTAATCCCGACACCTGTCTGTTTTCGATCTGCTCATGATCGAGCTGTCCCAGCGTCCTTTCTTCTGCTCATCCCCACTCCCATCAAAGCAGCCCGTCAGCCCGGGAGGAAGGGTGGAAGACACCCGCCCTGTCCTGGCTATCCGCTCAATGGACTCCCTCCGGCGGAAGAGGTTCTGATCCTGGAGAGAATTCATGCTGGAGGCAGAGGAAAGGCTCTGGCTGTCCTGGCCACCTGCTTGCAGGTAGGAGCTGTGGGATCGCTCCCTGAGCAGCCCGCCGTCCTGTGAGGATGGTCGTTTGCCCGTTTTGCGCTCAATGTAGTCGGCAAGGGCATTCTGCTGGAGTTGCTTGAGCTCTGGCTTAGAGAGGCTGACAGCGGAAGAAGCTTTGCCATCCCTTTCAAAGATCTTACGCCTATCAGCCACCGTGTTCTCAGGGAAGACAAAATGGAGGCCCTTCTTCTGGAAGGAGAAAGGTGATGGCTCCCCATCAGAGATGCCCACCTCGTTCATCTTCTCTGGCTCCGAGTAAGACCGCTTCTTCTGTTCTGCTGTCAGCCGCTTCCGGCCCCCGATGCGCAAGATGTGAGGTGTCCTGGAGTAGTCCAGGGCAGAGAGGCTGCCTTCCGTTGGCGTGACGCTGTGTCTCTCCTTTGGGGTGTGGGGAGACACCGCCATGCTTCTCATGCCCACATGAGCTGAGGCAGGCCTCTGGATCGCCCTCTTGGGCATATTCGCAAATGGGGGGCTGATGCGCCGGAAGGAGGTGGCCCTCAGCACTCGGGACTGTGCGTCTTTAATGCTGTTCCTGTAGGCCCTGTTGAACGGTGTGTCCAGCTGTGACCCGTGGGCATCCTGGATATTGTCCTTCCAGAGGACTTCTTTCTCAGGCTCCCCTCCCAGCTGGAATGTGCTTTTGCTCCTTGGCAGCTGGGCCACCCTTATTTGCACTTCATTTTCAGGACATGTGTGATAGTACTCATTGCATCTTGCCTGCTTCACTGAAGCTGCCATCTGCAGCTCCACACAGCGCCAATCAGCCTCTTCCAACTTCCCGTTCCTTACAGAGGGGCTGGAGACCCTGCTCATCTCACTGGGCAGCTGGGTGCCAAGTTTGCTCCGCATATCCTCTGGGCTGCTTGGAGAGCTCTTGGAGGCCTGGCTCACCCTGCTGAGCCCATAATGCTGGCCAAAGCTGGGAACACCAGCACTCTGGGGCCGGTGAGTGCTTTGCTCTCGCTGCTCAAACTTGCTGACCTTCTCTAGCACAGAGCAGCGGGACTTGCTGAGATCTGGTTTGCCATGAAGAACACCTTGGGTGCTGCTAGAGCTGAGCCGGCTCCTCCCAAGATCAGAGGTCTTTGGGTGCTGCAAAGGAATCTCCTCATATTTTGGCTCTACAGCATGGAATGGGGCCATGCTCTTGCCCTCGTCCTGCCTCGTAAGGGTCTGCGGGTCTGCATCACTGCGTTGTCCTCTGTGATCCCTCTCCTCTTTGGTGCTGTTGTTCAAGTAGGACAGCTTGGCACTGGAATAATTTTCACATGGCTCAGAGTTACTTTGCCTCCTGGAGCTCTCAGGGATGTTCTGCAAAGAAGAGAAGCTATACTGCCTGGATTTGTTGTGACCCCACTGGAGGTGCGTGGCAGCATCTCTCTCATTTATCTGTATGTTGCCATTTTTGTCAGCCTGGCATTCAGCCTCCCGGTTCTCTCTGGACTGGTAGGGGCTTTTTCTCTCACCGGCATCTCTTGGCTGGATCTGCAGGGCTTGAAAGCTGTGTTTAGAGGCCTGTGCAGGACTCACAGCATCTCGGTTGCAGTATGCTGCCTTGTAAGAGGGTAACAACTCCTCCTTCCTTGACATGCTTAAGTAGACTTCTGTGTTATGAAGTTTTTGCTGGACAAGCTGTGCTGTGGCATCATGCTTTCTCTCAGCATCTGGGGGCTCATAAAAAACAGCCGATCTGTTTGTAGTACTTTGGTTTCCATTCTCATCAAAGCCCAGGGTGCTGCTGGCTGCACCTTTGTCATACGAGACTGGAAAAGATGAAGAGTAGCCACTTTCTTTGGCCAGAGCTGGAAAAAGAGTTCCATTATTGCTTGCAGAAGGCTGGGGCACCTGGGCATAGTGTGGCTCTGGAGAAGGTACTGGGTAAACGCCGGTAGGCAGCAGGGGCTGCCCTGGGTGGGAATAGCTCTGCTTGGGCTTCACTGTGGGACTACTCTCCGGGCTCTTCTCCACCACTGTGTGCAGCTGCCCTTCCCCAAAGTGGGTCTTCAGTAGAGGTCCCTGGGAGGGGGGGCTGACAAGAGGAGACCAGGGCCCTTTCAGTTGGCTTCGGCTAGGCTTGTTCAGATCAAGGCCAGAATATGAGCTGGGTCTCTCGTGATGCCTGATGGCTGCGTAGCTGTCACTGCGAGTGGGAGGCAAGGGAGGTCCCTTGTGGGGCTTGCTTTCGCTGTCCTGGCCTGGCTGCACCCAGGAGGGAGCTGTGCTGTTCCGGCTGACGTTGTGGAGCCTGCCATGGCCGCGGCCATTCTGCAAGATCCGGGCCTCACTGCTTGGAAGCAAAGCAGAGGACTTCACCTCGTACTCCTCAGAAATCCTTCGCTGGGAATCGTAGACTGTCTTGACATACCTGATGTCAGCTTGCTTCATGCCCTCTGGTAGGCTGCTGCGGGAGTGCATGCTGTCTGTGGAGCAGGAGTGCTCCTTGCTGAAAGGCGAAGCGGCGTACTCGGGAATGCTGGAGTTGGTGGAGAAGGAGCTGTAGGCTGAATCTCTCTTGCTGTGCAGGTGGGAGAGCTGGTCGATGCTGTTGGTGGATTTGGCTGGGGACAGGTGACAAGGATGGTAGCCAGGGGAGGAGTGGTCCAAGCTTTCCATGCTGCCCTGGGAACTGTACTGGTCAGGGCTTCTCCTCAGATAGCCATGCTCATAGCCAGAGAGATCGCTGGTTGAGGAGCTGGGGAAGAGTGAGAGAAGAGCAAGAACCCACTGTTAGCAGAGAAGAGGCACAACTTTTAAGTGAGCTCAGAAGAAAGATGTTTAGCTTTGAGACGTGCAGATGAAAACCCATATTTGGGCCTTGCTCCATCCCCTGTTTGCAGTCATCTCAGTTCACTAAAAGGAACTACTTGACATTGCAACACATGGCTCTTATTTACCACCAAGGGGTGGGAGGAGAGAAATGCAGACAGAGAGACAGAGCATCTGTGGAGCCAAGGAGGATCAACTCCACCCATCAAACCTATCCAAAGCACTTGAAAAGCTGAATGAGTGCCGACGCCACCAAGGAGGAGGAGATGAGCATATGAGGCGTTCTGGGGAGAATCTAATCTCTTCCTTTTTTCCCATTTCATTCCTTTTTATGGAGATGAAGGCTATGCTCTGGCACGCTTCCTGGAAATTCAGCTGTCCCAAGGATAGTTTGTTTGCTGCGAAAGAAAACTAAGCTGACAAGACAGAGAAGAGATGCACGTGTCTGTGCATGGAGGCAAGTTGGGGGTGCAAATATTAAGTTTTAGAACAGCCCAGGAAGCCTTCAAAGGCTCCTCACATGTAGTTCTACATGTCTGAGTTCACCGTCCAAAACATACGTGTTGGCAGAAGACTCACGGCCTCCAAAGATGTGTTTAAATGAAGATATTCAGAGAGCTTCCTATCAGCTGGAAGCGGCCTCCTTGTGCTGGCCATACTTCCTCTACACCTCACATGGGAATATCACAAAAACGTGTAGAGATCCCCCTGGCTAGAATAAAGTGCAGCAGCTCTGCAGAGATGCAAAAGAACACACAGACAGGCAGAAATAGATCTTGCAAAACTCAGGATAAAGCTGGTTTACTTATTTAAATGTGCAGTCAAGAAAAAAAAAATTTCCCTGGCAGTGCTCTGTGCAACCATGGCCAGCTGGCCACTAGATGTTCCCCATACTCCTCTCCAAGCTCCCAGGAGACACAGCCATGCTGCCAAAGGCTCTGCGGGAGCTGCAGCTGGGAAGCAAAGCACCCAGGTGGGAAGTGAACGTGCTACAGGATGATCTGTGCTTCAGGTCAGGGAGGAACATACATTTTTTTCTGTAACAATGCCCTCACTTTTTTTAATGTGAAGTTTTCCCTTCCCACCCCTCTGCCAAGACTTAATTATATCTGTAAAAGATATGATGTTTAGATCCCAGTGGCTATAAGGAGAACTTCCTGCTCCTGAAAACCTCCTGCTTTGCCAGGGAAAAATGTTCCTTTTCCTTACTGGTTAATTTTATTTTTTTATTTCTTTTCTTCTTCTGGGGAAACAACTGTGCTGACTTTCTCCATGGGGGCAAGCCATGGGATACAGAGCAGGACTCCAACTCCTGTATCTGGATTCAGAGGTGGCCACCTTAATATATTGGCAGTGGGCTTTCTTTGCGTTGAGAAGGAGAACTTTTTAAGCAATTAGTTGCATAGATGTTAATCACTTCAGAGAGCACTTCATCGAGAAATACATAGCCACTTTGTCTGGGTAACCAAAGATGAAGCAAAGCGCTCCTGACTCCAAACCTAACCCTGGCTGTTTGTAATCCCACCAGCTGTATGAAGGCAACTTTATTTTGCCATCAAATTTCTTTTCCCTTCCTTCATTCGTGTGCTCTAGAGTTAGACTCCGATCTTGTAGTGAGCACCATCAAGGCAGACTCTTGGGCATGAGGCAGAGCCTCCCTGAAGCCAGTGATACACTGGAAACAGTGACATAGTATTTGGGGTTTAGAAGCACACTAGTTTGGAATCCCAATTTCCATGCCTATGGATGGTATGTAAAAACATGAAATCAAAAATAAAAATGCTGGTGGCTCTGTGCCTCTGCCTATGCAGCACATAACCACAGCTGTGTAGTGCTTACCTGGAGTGGTAGGACTGAAGCCAAGGGGTGCCAAGCATACCCTGAGATATTTGCATCATGCTGGGATCGGGTTGGTTCTCCGAAAGTTTGGTTGAATGCCAGGAGTGAGGTCGGCCCGGAGTTTCACTCCGCCTAGGTAAAAGCAGAAGGATTTTGCACGTCAATCTCAGACCAGCTCTTTCAAGGATGATGAACATGAAGAAACTGACAGAAACGTTTGAAACACGCTCACTTCTAACTCATCAATGATCAAGAATTCCCAAACATGTCACACACACTGTCCTTTGCCCCAGCCTTTGGGTCCAGGGCCAGTACAGGAGCTGCATATCGTTGAAGACAGCTTGCAGGACAACCTCACCTACACCTACATAGCATGAACCCATGAGGAGGATATGACACATCTTCAAAGCCTCTGTCTCACTGAAATTTTCATGGTGCAGCATGTCCAGAATAAATTAGTAAACAGATTAAAATGTCCTCTGTAGATATTAAACAGACACCAAATGAAGACTCCTAGCACTGAAAAGATACAGAAAAATGGCCAAGGTAAAAACTGATTGTTCGGGTCAGACTGTACTGGCAGAAATTAATTTGCAATGGATAATGCTCTGCTCCATAGAAAAATGTTAACAGAAACTGAGATGCAGAACCACTTCAGCAAGACATCTTCTATGCAGATTTCGAAACAAATTACTCTCTCATCATCACTTAGAAGAAGAACAAAACAAGAGACATTGTTTTCCTTTTGACATTTGTTGTGACAGGACTATCTTAAGGAGAGTGCAGTGGAGGTTTATACGGAGCAAGCTGAATCAAGCACCATTTTACTGTTTCATGTGTAGATGTGTTTAAAACAGAGCTCTCTTGTTATGCTCCTTGCCCACAGAAACACTTCAGGATGGAAAGATGACAAAACAGTTTATTACTAATAATTGTAATATTTATTTGTTCTTGCCTTCTCCATTGCAGAGACTTAAAGACTCTCTTTGTACTCTGAAGCAGTACGAGCCCCCAGCATTAATCTGTTTCTTGGGAAAGCACACTGGATGATCACAAGCAAAGCACATTAGCCCTTGATTTGATCAGTAAAAAGCTGCAAGAAGCTGCACAGCCAATCCTCTGAGGCACAAGTATTTTAAACCCTTTGGGCCAATATCCTTGCAACAATACAACACGTGGAGAGAGAAGCTGTGAATGTAAGTCCAAAGACATGCCGTACCAGCTCAGCACAGGATAACCTTGCATTGTTTCCACACCTACCTGATCCTGGAAACGTGGATTAAGGGTAACCAAATCCTAACCAAGCTTAAGCCAAGAGGGGAAGTGCTGCAGTACACATGATCTCCGTCTCATGTTGCAGGCACACAGGTGAACCCTTTGCAGAAGGCAGGATGGAGACATGGAGGGTCTGCATGCACACATACACCAGACAGCAGAGACTGAGGGCTCAGACCAGTCCCCACTGAATCAATCGAGAGACTCCTGATGCAGAGTGCAGAGGATGGAAAGGAAGGCACAGCCTCTCCTGCATGCGGGAACACCAGAAAGACCCTGCCTGCAGCCTGCTGTAACATCTGAAAATAGCACTTTGTTTCACTGTATATCGTGAAGCTTAAGTTTGTAAGTATTACTGCCCAAAGAGGGAAAAGGACTGCAGTTGGAGTGTGATACAACTGCGTCTGCGAAACAGCCACCTCCCATTACAGAGCTGCAGAGAGTTGGGTCTGGTTTATCTGCTGATTTTGCAACAGCTTCTGGTTACACTCGCACTACTACGGAGCACAACTGTCAGGAAACAATTAAGAGCATGCAAGATTAAACTCTTTAAGGCAAGTGGGACAGAACCGCCTTTGGGAAGTGTCAGATCCTGATTCAACCCAGGCAAACTGACTGAGTCACAAACCTTGCAAATGCAGCAGCTAATTCCTGAGTTTAGATAAATTAATAGACCTTTCATTGGTACAAATTTAGTATAGCTCAGTGGTCCACAACAAAATCAGGAGGCTGCAGGACTTCAAAATTTAACAATAATACTAAACCATCCCACCTCCTTACCCTTTATCTTAGTTCCTCAAGGTCTGTAACTGTACCATACCTGTAGAAGCATATGAACAGTCTTATTACTAAGAAGTTCTCCTGTTCAGATAATGCAACGAGGGCCTCCTGGACACCTCCCATGATCTAGTAAGTGGTCAGCCAGCTCAGTCTGTCAGAGCAATGGTACCCAGAGAAGTCAGCAGATCCCAATACAACGCTGCAGCTCTAGCACTGATTACATATCAGGCACTGCCAAATTCACACTGTAAACTGGGAAACTGAAGGGAAATAAAGTCTTTAATTATGCCCAGCTATTGTTATCTGGGTGCTCCTTCTTGCTATACTCATCACAGCAATTTCAGACATTAGCAGTCTTCTGGAAGACAGTCTGCTCAATGCAATCTGGGCTGCAAGGCTTACAGTGATATTTCTGAGACTATATACTATGAACTGGCCTGTAGCTCTCCTTTATTAGGAAGAACTGACTGTGTTCTCCCCTGTAATCTCTGTAGAAAATTATTTTTATGCTTCGTATGCAAAATAATAGTGAAATGGCAAACTTTATAAAGATTCCTTGGCACCAACTACAAATTAATCAGCACTTAACCATCAGAAGCTTTCTCCACAGTGCAACAGAAAGATTGGCTTATCTTTTTCTCACAGCTACAAACTGAGCCCACACAAAACAATGTACTGCCTAATTTCCATTCTTTATGCACTGTTCCTTATTGATGCCACAGTACACACAACTCGAGTGTGTACTTCAACTACCCACCAGCCTCGTGTCCTCTGAGAGCTTCCACTTTTATGTAGAAATGCCCGACTTGACTAAAGCAAGCAATTTAGCTTCTTCAAATTGCCATTTTCCTGTTTACTATGCTTGTTCAGAGAATTTCCTATTTCCCTAAGCCTCCAAAAGGAGCAGTGAGGAGCCATGCAGCAGTATCAACTGCTGCTGCCGTGCCAGCAAGAACTGCATGTGGATGACTAGGCAAAGAGATCTCGATCGTAGTAGTTTCTGTATTGTCTCTCAGAGCGATAAACACAAAGTAAAACAACGGTCTGATTTTTCACTGCCGTGCCCATGCTTCCAAGATGGTCGTCCCCAGGAGCGCTAGTGTAACAAGGATACCATCTCCAGATATCCTACCATGCTGCAGTCCCTATGCCCAGCTATTAGGCAGGAGATGAAGGAAAAAATAAAGCACCAGAAGCCTATTAGGATTTCAACGGAGCAGGACCACAATCTACTCAAAGCAATGTCGCTCTTAATTAAGGTTCAGTCATGGTTCTAAAAATAAGCATAACAGATGAGGCCAATTAGAAAGAACTTGGACCATAATGGCATCAGCCTGTTGTGTCTCTCACTGAATTTGTCTTTTGGGGCTCAGAGCCTTTCTGGTGAATTCAGGGGCAGCGTGAATCTGAAATGTTCTCTGTCCCTTCCACATTTTCACTAAAAATGAGGACTCCTTAGAAAGATGTGAAGTCTATGAAATGATATTTCATGTCATAGATCTTGGGCGTAGTATCTCCCCACCTACAGGGAGAGTTGCAACCTACGCCTCTCTTTATGCTCTGATTAAAACTTTCCAGAAGCAAAAGGAAAAAACAGGTACTGAAAGAAAACTCTCTTCAGGACACTCAGGTCAAATGAATGCTCTCAAATCAGAAAACAACCTTCTGTTTTGCAGTACATCCTTCCCTGTAGCTCCTAGAGCACAACTCCACAACCAGTGAATCCCTTCACAGCATTTCACAGTTTTTAGCAGTTTCAGACTTTAACACACACAAAAAACCCAGCAACTTGAGTAACATCGACCAGCCGAGTTCAGCACTCTACCCAACTCAGTTTGGTTTCATTTCTCTCTCAGATCCCTTTCCAGTGTCACAGGCAGATGTCATGTCTGCTTGTTGTTTCAGCCCACATCTAGTTCTTATTCGGTTTTTTTTTTTCCCCTTTGATGAACATCACTTGGGATGCATGAACTGCATCAGATCAGGCCTTGAGTATCATGTCTGAGCTGGCAGACAGGTACTGAAGCTCTCTGAAGTCTCTTAGGGAAGGAAATCAGGGAATCAGGGCCTTTTGCACAAGTCTCTTACCATTACCTTCACCAACATTTTGGGAAGATCGCCCTTACCAGATCACTGTGAAGAAAGGCTCTGGGTGAAAGCAGAGATGACAGTCACACATGTAGAGGTACATACGAATTTTTTCTACTGTGTTTTTCTGCAACTTCATGTGCAGGAAGCAGCTTGTCTCTCTTCCTTGTCTTCTCTCTCTAGCACCAAAAGCAGGCAAAGGAAATTCATGTGGAACTATTTCTTGGTGGAAAGGAACAACCAAGCAATGCTCATCATACTGATTCTGGTGAGGGCCAACATGCAGATGACTACAGATACATGACAGCATCATGTGCTGCAGCAGAAATTGCAGGAGACAAAAGATGCTTTTTCTGGAAAACAATGCTCTCCCTTGGGCTGCAGAAAAAAAGTTCTGAGATCACTCAGAGGCGATGGCAGCTGTGAGCAACAATCGTTCCTTGGTTGAACTCATGAACAGTCAAACATTGTAATTAATGATTATTGGACTCATACATCACACCTCTGTGTTATCGCATTTCTTTGGTAAACCCTGGGCTGCCTTATCCAAAAAAGGCCCATTTATCCCCTTTTCCAGAAAAGGAAACAAAGGCCTCAAGAGGTGAAGTGACTTACACAGAATCACCCAACAGCTCTACCGCAGAGTGCACTGCTAGGAACTGCACCAAGCGCTACTGCACCATTTTCCCTTCATCCAAGCATATGTCTGACAGGCAATATTTAGATTGAGGACTTTGCCCTACACAATGAAAGCGTCCCACTGACATTCCTGACACTAACCAGACAGCAGGCTTGAATAGGAACAGTGGGGCTTTGGTTATTAGTGTGAGAGGTGATGTATACAGCCTTCATTTTTGTTGATTACTGGATTTAAGGACTTTGTCCTGTTGGGATCTTCTGACAGCTTTCTTTTTTTACGTAAAGCATTACCAAGCAACATGGTAAGTATGACTTAAATTGCAGAATAAGAAGTATTTCAGATCTCTATCTTGAGAAACTATTTTCCAGGATAGTGTATCTGAACTGCTCACACAGGTCTGTGGCTTAGACATGTGGAAGTCCCCTGCCTGCTAACTGAGGTACATAAAGGCTAGAACAAGGAGCTGGTCAGTGCTGGGTTAACAACCCCCTGTAATTTCATTCTTTTTGCCATAATTTTACATTGGGGAAAAAAAAAAAAAAAAAAAAAAAAAGGAAGAAAGGTCTGGAAAAGAGACAGCTGCCACTTGTAGAGTTTTTGCTTTGGCCTTTGTCCTTGAGAAGAACTCTGCTACGTCCTGCCTTCTCCAGACATTTACATCTGCCCTCTGAGCACAGGTAGAGAATCTCAGCAGTCAGATAGTAATGTGTTTTAGCTTGCCTGTGGCTTTGCAGAACTCACAGAGCTGCGCTGATTTATCCTCCCTGATGAACTGGCCCAATGGGCTTAATTCAAATATTTTTTCTCATTCTTTCCCCGTCAGTAAATCAGTTAAAAAGACAGAAAAACAAGCATAGTTTAGATTCTTTTGCACCCTGATATCAAACACACAGCAACCTGCAAGAGAAGAAACTTAGGAACAATGGAAGGAATGTGTTTTCCTGTTCTCGTTCAGAAGAAATGGGTGGCTGGCAGCAGGAAGACTGACTATCCATGCCTATAGAGGACAGTTAACCATGGCAGGTAACCGGGGGCATTCATACAGTGAGCATCTCAGATGGAACTCCTCTGAGTTTGAGCTACAAATCACAAGCAGCTCCAATAACCTCAGCATAAAAATGCTGGTGTAGAAATGATCAGCAGGAGAATTCAGCTACCTGCTGAATGCACGGATGTGTCCACATAAACTGGTTCGTGTGGATGGATGGTATTTTTACACAAACGAACAGGCAAAACCACACAAATCATAGAGCCACTAACAGACCTCTCCTCTCCCTCAGAAACTTTCAATCACTTCAGTAATAATCACTGGCACAGCCAAAGTAGAGGTCGGCAAGTCTGAAATACCCTCCCACATTCAAATTCTTGTACATTAAAGCAACTTCCTGCTTGTAACCAAAGCTTCAATGCGAGTTAAGCCACTGAGATATGCAGACACAGCCTCCGACACTGCCGGAAAAATGAAGGAAAACATTGGCTCTGCATCCAAAGACAAATTAATCCAAGTGAAATGCTAAACTCTGGAGCTTCTGCAGATATCTGCAATTAAATCAACAGGCAAGCAGGATTTACAGTAAGCATAGCCTGAATAACTCACTGTTATAGAAAGGTGGTGTTTGCATTGCAACTTCTTTCCAAAATTTGCTACGGGTCTGATACCTCAGGAACGTCAGAGTCCCAAACCCAAACCACAGATAAGTTTGTCCCTGATAAAATTTTTCTCAAGGAGATATTTCAGCCTCAAAAATCTGCTCCATTTGGGAGCGATATCATTCATGGTGCAAACTCCCAGCTGGAGGAAAACAAAACAAGCAAACTAAGCTCTTCTCTCTTCCTTTTGCAGCCGCTGAGGCTGCACAGTGTCAGGATCTACAACTGACTGCAGTGCCTAAAAGCTAGGACAACGCCACCACGGTCAGTAAGTTTGTTCCAGATGTGCATCCTTGTTTCTAAGAGCAGAGTGTGACTTCACGAGTCACATTCCCTCCTCAGCTGCTCAGTAATAGGCAGCTGCTCAGTAACAACATCTCCTCCAGCTATGGGAAATCAGTGAAGCTTCTTGACTTCAAATAGGTCAAGATCTGCTCTGAATTCAATGCTGCCAACAAAAGTTGCTACTTAGACTTCATGGTGTAAATCTCAGAAGATGGAGACACAAAAATCTGAGGTCATCCAGAATACCATCTAACTGATGCAAAAGGCTTTTTTGCTGCCAGAAGAAGCTTTGCCTTAGCAAACAGAAAAATTTGGCCCTAACCTGCATGCACAAAGGAAGGAAATGAGGCTGTGCCACAACACTGGTGGATCTACAGCAATTCAGGAGACTGACTTCTAAAGACTTTTTTTACTTTTTTTAGAAATGCAGATAGGCTCTCAGCAGGCTTGTCACAAATGCCAAACTCCCACTAAAACTCTGAGATTTGGAATAAATCTTAACTTCGGAAAGCCAGGCACCTAAATCTGGGGAGATGCTGCAAGCTTACTGTCAGTGCTATGGAGATATTTTGATCTCCCACCTCCAGTGAACTTAACCATAACTGACAAAGCTTTTGACAAGAAAGGACATTCTTCCAGAACCCTTTCCCAGTGAGTCATCCTCAGGCATATCAGCAGCCAAAGCAATAACATTTTTACATTCACAAAGCAGTACCATTTTTACACCCAGCCCTATGTAAGTGTTACTGAAATCAAGAAACGTTGATGCTGTATTCAAGGCAAAAAAGGTCAGCTCCTTTCACTTCCCTCACAACGTGCTACAGGCAAGGAAACTTCAGGAACAGGTGGGCATGATGTCAAGAAACTGTCCTGGCCCTCTTCCACCATCTAGTTCTATGGATGCTGGGAATTCATGATATCCTATTCCAGCATTCCCACTGGCTGAGAAGAAGAAGTCCGCCACACACTCTCCAAGGAGAGCAGCCATCAAACACACCCAGCAGACAGGGATGCAGATGTGTACATTCTCACCTGCTCTTCAGCCTTAACTTAACTCCTCCTGGCCACGTAGGCTTGCCGGGCTGAAAGTCAGCGGTCACACGGTCTGGACCGAGCAGGCGGGGACACGGGTCGGTGCATCCCTTCGCAGCATGTGTGTCCCTGCCAAAGGAAACCAAGGCCGTGTAAACAGCAGCACACAAAATACTTGTACTCAACATTTAATAATTGTTTTAAGAAAGAAGGCAACACACAGACCCAAGGGGAAAGGTCTGTGGCATCAGTCACAGAAAGAGGCATCAGTCTAGTTTTTTGAAAGTGAAAAGATGTCCCAGAAAGCCACTTGTAGTCCTTTTCTTCTCTCTGTCACTGCCCAGTCAGGCTGCAAGAGAGAGATTTTGCTCTCCTTCCCACCCAGGCAGTGTTCAGCCCTTGGGAATGGCCCCACAGAACTCAGCACACGGAAGGGAGATCAGCTGCAGCATCCACAGCACAGAACTCATCAGCCTGCATCTGTACTCTGAGACTACAATCCCTGTCTGCAGAGCTCCGCAGCTCCCCTGCAGGACATAACCACCTGACAAAGGCTTTGAACACAGAAAAGCTGAGAGAAAAGTCCACACGCAACAAAAAGAAAGAGAAGTCTATTCCCTCCCCCTTTAATGGTATCTGCAAAAATTCAGCAAACAAATATTTACCCCTCTTTGTCACATGCATGCAGACGCCACACAAACACTGTGCACCCATCACTTCAGCTCCTTTCTTCCTGCAGGCACAGCGTTCCCACTGGCTCCCATTTCTAGCTCCGAGATGTAGGACAGCCTTGAAATTTCCTGCAGCTCACAGCAGCCAAATAAAAGCGAGGCTGGAGAGACCCCTCCCTGGGCCCGCAGCGCGAGGTGCGTGGAATGGCCTCTCACCGTTCGCTTAGCAGGCTGCAGCCTGAGCGCACAGGCCGGCAGCTGGGGCTTTGGATGGCTGAGATGGCTTGGATGCCATTCCGCTGAGAGGCTGGCCGTCTTTGTGTCCAGCTCGGTTCTCCCCCCCGCCCGGCGCCCTCCCACCCCCCTGCTCCCTCCCTAGCCCCCACGTGCCAGGCAGGAATGTTAAGCCTCACGCTGCGGATGAGATAGCATGGGGAGCATACAGTGGCACTTTCACCCAGATTAGGGAAAGCGACTGGTCTGTAGCGGCCTTTTTGCTCACCCTGCTTCTCTTTGTCCAAATTTTACCACAAATCCTGCCTTAGGTGCCTTTTCCCCTCCATGAGTTAAATCTTATTTGGCTTCCTCTGCCACCTGCACTGCTCTCTGCACAGACCTGGACTTGCTGTATTTATAACACAAATGCAACAAGTTGGGGTTTGGAGAGCAACCCCACACAAACTTATCACCCGCATGGGCAAAATTATGTCAGGTTCCCATCTGTACAGCAGGTGTGCAGCCTCCCTTACTGCTCCCCAGTGCAGTGCCAGGCCCACCAACTGCTCCCTTGTGACAAAAACAAACTCATTTTTAAAGACTGACTGCAGCACAAAGGACAGGAGAGCTGCAACAGACAGATAACAAAATATTGTGCATATATATACAGTAGGTACACATATATAGTAGATCGTTCTGAAAGCAATGTCTCTCACCCATTTCCATGGAAACCATAGCAAAGAGCACAATAATACTACTTGACAGAGCTAATGCTCAGTAGAGGTTCAACCTTTACTGCCGTATCACCCCTCTGACATTGTGGGCCAGCATAATAAAATAGGAGGTGTTACTTTCAGAGCAGCCCTCGTACAGCAAAACAACTTCACTGCTGCAGTGTTTAAACAACAAAGCCCTATTTCAAGCTTTCTATGAAAATGCAGCAGAGATGGACACAAAGAATGGCACTCACGCAGCAGGGTCACATCAGAGGGGGCAGGATCTCAGCAGAGACAGTTGTCTCAGGACAAATCCTGGCCTCATTTCATCTATGGGGAATGATCGTTTTTCTGGTTTGCTGATGGAGGTCACAAAGAGGAGATGCAGGTTACCTGAGGACTTTGCACAGCCAGGATCATGCTGGGGTGACACAGCTTTTGTCAGAGGTAACCATGCTACCTTCTTGATTTGGGTCACCCTTGCATGAGCTGGCCCTGCAGTCCTACACGTGAAGTGCCGGTGCCTGCAACTCCTGTTGTCTTTGAGGCACAGTGGGTGCTGAGCCCTTTGGGAAAAGCCTTCTGGATGTCCCATTGTTGCCTATAGCCCTCATCACGACACAGGTAACTGTTCACTACTGAGTCATACTCTCCCTGTTCTGCTTCTGAACAGGTCCTCTGGACCTCCCAGAATCATGGAATCATGGAACATCCCAAGTTGGAAGGGACCAATAAGGATCATGGAGTCCAACTCCTGGCTCCACACAGGACCACCCAAAAATCAGACCCTATGTTTGAGAGCATTGTCCAAATGCTTCTTGAACTCTGGCAGCTTGGGACTACACCTGCTGCCTTGGGCAGTCTGTTCCATGCCCACCACCCTCTGGTGCAGAAGTTTTCCCTAACCCCCCTGACTCTCCTTCCCCTGACAGCTCCATGCTGTTCCTTCAGGTCCTGTCACTGTCACAGGGAGCAGAGCTCAGCACTGCCCCTCCACTCCCTGTGAGGAGCTGTAGCTGCCATGAGGTCTCCCTTAACTCCTCTGCTCTGGGCTGATCAAACCCACAGACCTCAACCGCTCCTCATATATCTTCCACTCCACCAGACCCTGCACTATCACTAGGCTACACTGGAGCTGCACTCCTGCAGACGGATGCTGCTCCTGCCTTCTCTTCACTCCACTAGCACAGAAATAGCTTGTAACAATATGCAGCACTGGGAAATTGCCCAAAATGTGGAAAAAAAAAAAGAATAACCAGCAGCCAGATGAACTGATGCAGAGGAGCATATGAGCATATGCCCACAGTTTCCCCATCACCACAGCCTAGTGATCTTCCAGCACTTAGAACTTTTTTCATTTTTTTTCAACAGCTTTCTAAACACATGAAGAAAGCAAGAGGCAGCATAGACTCCTGGCTTCACTGTGGGAAGAACTTCCCCTGTGTGCCCCTTCCAGGTGTTCCCCTATGGATCCACTCAGATCTGAACCACAAGCAGCAGGGGTGAGCAGCCTGGGTGTTCCCCCTCACAGGGAGAAAACCCTGCCTGGCAGCATGCAGAACTGTGAGACTGACCCCAGAAAGACAAAGAGTTGTTAATTAGTACCTGCATGGGCTCTGGAGCTGTTGGTTGGAAGTAAGGAGGAAATGCAGGGGAGTTTTTCCCAAGCCTCTTAAAAAACTCTAATTACTGGGCTCCATGTGGAACAACAGGCTCACTAAGACACTGAAAACTAATCAGGCAGTCTATAAATAACGCCGTTAATCAAGCCCAGTGGGGAACCTGATAAATGGGGATCCTTCCATCAGACAAGCACACATGCAGGGATGGAGATCTCCTTGAAATAGTGCCCACAACCTAGCCTTTTCCCTATGTTCTCAGCTTTCTGCCCCACACTCAATGACACAACCTGGCTGCTTATTCCAGATTTTCTGAGGCATTCCTACACCACCAGGAGGGCACTCATCTCTTAAACAGCAACACGCCAACAGCCACTTCTCTGCAAAGATGCCCAGAGCCTACCTCGTGTCTTGGCCATTGCAACTTCTCCTTCAAGCAACCCTTCTCCAAAAGCTCGAGCCAGTGGCTGGACGGCACAGTGTGCCAGCCCCTACAAGAGCACCCGGCCCACTTGGATGGTCCTTAAGGCTGGGGCTGCATTTTATTTCGGGATGTTGCAAAGTGCCCCACAAGTGCATAGTTGAAAAGCATCCCCAGCAAGGAGTGGCCCACAGTTGTTCTTTACGTTATCATGTTGTAGTGAAGCTCATACACAGGAGACAGGAAACCTAGCACAGCCTATTTAAATCTCCATCTCCCACCTGAGGCTGGCAGCTGTCTCTCAAATCTTTTCTTTTCTGAGAAGTTCTGGTTTAGTTATGAAATGTTATTTATACTCTTCCAAAGTGCCTTTAATACCACACATGTCAATGACTAGCTGTACAAAAGCACTCTGCTTAACTTCTCTCTCATCTAAAAATATGGCCTGTCACAATCCTTGAAGAGCTCATTTGATGGTTTAGGGAGATCTCTTGCTTTTGACCATAACCCTCTGTGACCTCCTCTGGCCTTCTTATCTGCCTCCTGCACTGACCTCCCATTACATGCATAGTTGAAATATTTCATACCATTTATCTTCACCTTCCAAGCTCTTGGCTCTTCTCTCTCACCTTTTTTTGCACTTCCTTATCGCTTCCAAATTGATGCCCAGTCACCAGGTGTGGATGCATGCCTCTGCCCAGCAGATCCCCCAGTGACAGTGTCTGAACCTGCAGACCTGTTTCAACCATGCTTTGCAGAGGTATCAGCCTCAGAGAGCTAAGCACTCATAAAAAGAGTAATGGGAGTAGTACAAATTGTGTCTGTCACTGAGAAAATACTGCAGTGAGTGCTTAGCTCCCTGGCAATGGTTCACATAGGGGAGAGGTCATACAAGAAAGTCACAGAAAACCAAGCTTCTGAAGTTTTGCTGCTGATGGCATATTTTCCAGCACACTTCTATCTGCACTAGCATCCTGTATGCTGCTTTTCTGCTTAGCTCCCAGTGGTTCCAGGTATGAGTCTAGGGCAGGGCTGAGATCATCCATAAACAGCACCAGGAATAATTTAAAGATCATTTATGCTTTTATGCTTATCTTTTCATAATAACTAGTTCTCCAATGGTTCCACCTCTTGGAATAATAGTCATTTATTTTGAACTAATGCCAGGTTTTCTGCCACGGCAATAGAAGATCCAGGTCCTAGAGATTCTCATCTATAAGTATTAATAGGTTTAGTAATTTGTAGTGTCTCATTATTTCTAAGCCAAGTGTTGCTTCTAGAAGAGAGGACAGAACTTTAATTCTGTTTTATAAATCATTTGAATCTCCCAGGATTGTTTACAGCCAGTATCAGAATTAAAAGCTTTCCTAGAAAAGCAGTTCACATGGTGATGATGCTGAAATCGAAGTTAAAGCAATAACTCCTATTCCAAGTTTCCTACCGTGATTTTTAGTCATTACTTAATAGACTTTCCCTTTGTCTAAAA